AGAATGCTTTTACTTACCTCTCTTTGGAGTTTATCACCCGCGGAAGCCTGACAAAATACGCGGTGTATTTGATTCGTCCGTTAAATACAAGGGCCTATCCCTCAATGGAGTAATGCTATCAGGACCAAACCTGACCAATGAACTACTGGGAGTCCTTATGCGCTTCCGTATGAACAGAGTGGCTTTTATGGCAGATGTAGAACAGATGTTTTATTCATTCCTGGTCCGAGAGGACCATAGAGATTTTCTACGTTTCTTCTGGCACAGAAACAATGAACCGTGTGAAGATTTAATCGAATACCGAATGCGGGTGCATGTGTTTGGGAATACACCCTCGCCGGCGGTAGCAACATATGGCTTACGCAAGACAGTTGAAAAAGCGGAAGTTGAGGTACAGAATTATGTTACCCGAAATTTTTATGTTGATGACGGGCTCATGTCTGTGGGATCAAGTGACGAAGCCATAAATCTGCTTCGAAAAACGCAACAAGTGCTGAAGGACGAAGCCAAGATCAGACTTCACAAGATAGCGTCGAACAGCGTTGAAGTAATGGAGGCTTTTCCCGCGGAAGATTTAGAAAAGAATCTGAAGTCGCTCGACATTGCGGCTGATGAGTTACCGATCCAACAGAGCCTTGGCTTAGCATGGGACATCAATTCAGATAGTTTGAATTTCAGTGCACGCATCCCAGAAAAACCGTTTACAAAAAGAGGTCTTCTGTCCATAATTAACAGTTTATTTGATCCTCTTGGGTTTATCGCACCTATAGTCATACATGGTAGGATACTTTACAGGGAGATATGTGAGGACAATGATGACTGGGACGAACCTCTACCCAATGATCGTGAAGAAGAATGGACTACATGGAAGCAATCTCTACATGCCTTGGAGAATCTGCGCATTCCGAGGATGTATACTCCAGTGTCCTTGAGTTCTGCTTCCTCAAGCAAAGTTCATGTTTACTCAGACGCCTCCGAAAAGGCAATTTCTGCGGTTGTGTACTTACAGACAATTGATGATTTAGGTGAAGTCAATATTGGATTTGTCATTGGGAAGTCGAGAATAGCACCTAAACAAGGAAATACTATTCCACGCCTTGAGCTTTGTGCTGCTCTTCTAGCCACGGAACTAGCTCAGACAGTATTCCAACAGCTTGACTTAAATCAAGATTCTGCAAAATACTATACAGACAGCAGGGTCGTTTTAGGATACCTACATAACCGATCTCGTCGATTCTACAATTATGTCAGCAACCGGATCAACATGATACACAGGCGATCTAAACCAGAGCAGTGGACCTTTGTTTCCACACAGGACAATCCAGCTGACATTGGAACTAGGTGTTACACATCTGTTGAGGACATGTCTCAAAGCGATTGGCTCAGAGGACCGATACAACTGAGGTCTGTAGAGAAGGTAGAGGACAAAAGCTTCCCCTTAGTCAATCCAGATGCAGATACAGAAATACGACCCATAGTTTGTGTCAAGAAAACAGAGGTGAAGGAACATTTAGTGGATAGATTTGAGAAGTTCTCCTCTTGGACAAGATTGGTGAATGCAGTCTCATATCTAAAGAGATTTTGCAGAAGAAAAGCTGAGTTTTCTTTGCACAGTATTGAAGATACTCAGGAAGCAGAACGTTTCATTATCAGGGAGACTCAGAGATTCTGGTATGGAGATGATATGAAGTGTTTACAGGAGAAGAAACCACTTCCCTTGAAAAGCAATATCATTGCTCTTCATCCTTTTGTAGATAATAAAGGAATTTTACGTGTTGGTGGACGTCTAAACAAAGCACCCTTCACTATAGATGAAAGAAATCCTGTCATTCTTCCAGGAAAATCCCACATTGCCAGACTTCTCATTACTCATCTGCACGAGAAAGTGTATCATCAGGGTAGACTCATCACGGAAGGTACAGTGAGATCCAATGGCTTTTGGATTATCGGATGTAAGCGCCTTGTTAATTCCATCTTGTACAAATGTGTAGTGTGCAGGAAACTTAGAGGGAAGTTAGAATTTCAACAGATGGCGGACTTACCACCTGACCGAGTTACATCTGGACCTCCATTCAGTTCAGTAGGGGTCGATGTATTTGGGCCGTGGCCAGTAGTGGCACGACGAACTAGAGGGGGCCTTTCCCACAGCAAAAGATGGGCTGTGCTTTTTACTTGTATGAAAACAAGAGCAATACACATTGAGATCATTGAGGAGATGAGCAGCTCATCATTTATTAATGCCTTACGCCGATTCATCTCTATTCGTGGACCTTTGAAGGAAATCCGTTCCGATAGAGGAACCAACTTCTTAGGAGCCCTTGATGACATAAAGGCAGAAGCTGTCTACACTGAAAAGGGACCTATTTACAATTATCTTCTTGAGAATAGGATAACTTGGACTTTCAACCCCCCACATGCGTCACACCAGGGCGGAACCTGGGAAAGGATGATTGGAGTGTCACGAAAAATACTGAACTCAATGTTACTAAATGCGAACACAAAACAACTCACTCATGAAGTCTTGTGCACATTTATGTGCGAAGTTTGTGCCATTGTAAATTCAAGACCCATTTGCTCAATATCATCTGATCCAGAAAATCCACAGATTATCAGCCCTTCGATGTTACTTACTCAGAAGGAATTTCCTGATATTCATCCTGTTAGCTCATCTGACATGAAGGAAATATACAGGAAACAGTGGAAACATGTGCAGTGCTTGTCGGATATCTTCTGGAAGCATTGGAGGAATGGTTACCTCCAGCAACTCCAAGTGCGACGTAAGTGGCAGACTGAACGTCCTGATGTAAAGGTTGGTGATGTTGTTCTTTTGCGCGACAAAGAAGCCCACCGTGGACAGTGGCCACTTGGACTGATTGTGAATGTCTTTAAAAGTGAGTGTGACCACAGAGTAAGAACAGTTGAGGTGCGCATTATCAAGGATGGTAAGCCAACAACATATATCCGCCCTATTACAGAACTTGTTATCTTGATTGACTAAGACAAACATTTGAAAACGTTGCTTGAGAATGTCTTTGTAAATTGTAATATCTTTCAGACATTAGGCGGGGAGTGTAATGTCTCCGAATCAACTATGTATGAGTTAACTTTTTGTTTTGTTTGTTAGAAGAGTTACTTCCCGTAGTTTTGGCAAGCGCCATATTTGTACATGTGCAAAAGTGTTACTAGATTTTGTGACTTTGTAGCCCTATAGCGTAAGTACACTTTCATAAGTTATAAACATAAGATCTTAATATTCATGTGTTAGGATGCAAACCTTTATTGTCAAATATTTCAGTAATTTAAAGCATTATCTACACATGGTTAACATGACCTGGTTTTTTGTGTAAGGCTAAGCACGTGGTTTGTGTTCAAATCATTTTCTGAGATTTATACAATCTAGTCACTATGTTATACTTGTATATGTGAATTTGTAAGGATAATTTGTTGATTTCTTGCTGAGTTATTATTACATGCCAGTTTTATTGCTTATAAGTTGATTGCTGTTAAAAGAAAAAAGTATGGAAACCCGGTTTGGTCATAAATGTAGCATAATAGAGTCAATGTTTTAAGTCGATCATTTTGTATGTAATTTCTTATAACCTTTTTTGTAATTTACAGTCTTTTACTACGTTGATGCTGAATAAAAACAATGAGTCAGTACACTGTCCGTGTGTCTGTCTAGCTATCCATCTGTCTGTAAACAATTTTTCAAAATGCTACTCCTCCTACTGTAACAGTTTTGGTCAGATTTCAATAACTTGGCACACAAGTAGACTACACTTTAAATAGATTCATAATTCTTTGCATTGGTTTTTGATTTCAATGAACGATGTTGCCATGGTTACTTAGAATAGAAATTTCTGTGAAATACTTTCAAAATGCTACTCCACCTACAGTTTTGGTCTGATTTTAATATAACTTTGCACACAAGCAGACTTTAGTAAGATACATATTTATTTGTATTGGTTTTTGATTTCGATGAATGGTATTGCCATGGTCACTAAAATTAGAAATTTCTATGAAATACTTTTAAAACACTAGTCCTCCTACAGTTTTAATCTGATTTTAATATTACTTTGCACACAAGTAGACTACACCAAGATACAAAATTCTTTTTATTGGTTTTTGATTTCAATGAACGGTGATGCCATGTGTACTAAAAATAGATACTTCTGTGAAATACATGTACTTTAAAAACACTAATCCTCCTACAGTTTTGGTCTGATTTCAATGTAACTTGGCACAAATGTAGATTACACTGAGATACATAATTCTTTGTGTCAATTTTTGATTTTGGTGAAGTATTGGCATGGTTACTAAAAATTGAAATTTCTGTGAAATACTTGCAAAAGGCTACTCCTCCTACTGTTTTAGTCTGATTGCATTTTGCCACAAAAAGAGACTAAATCAAGGACCTTTATTCTATTTATTGCTGTTGCAAAGTTTCAAGACCAAGTGCTACTTTTCTCTTCCTTTGTTTATGTACAAACCAGTAGAGCTACAGTCTTGTCAGAGACTTCTGGTTAGATTGCTTAAAATGAATTCCCATAAAATTGTTTCCAATTGTGTACCATATAGATTACACAGAAAACTATAAGAAATTACTGGGAAATTTCAAAAATAGGACTAAATATTAGAAAAATATTTTTGCAAACTTTGGGATAGGCAGAAAAGCTTACATCTGAAAGAACATTTACCCCAGCCTGTATAGTCCATTATTTTGTACTACATTGTAACTTGGCATTAGATATGATGGTTGGCATTAGATATGATGGAGACAAATATAATGGGTCAGTATTATTTTTTTTTAACTGCATGGGTATTAGATATGGTGGAGACAAATATAATGGGCCAGAATTATTTTGTATTAACTGGGCATCAGATACATGTATGATGGAGACAAATATAATGGGTCAGAATTATTTTGTATTAACTGGGCATTAGATATGATGGAGACAAATATAATGGGTCAGAATTATTTTGTATTAACTGGGCATTAGATATGATGGAGACAAAAATAATGGACCCTGTTTGAAGAATGGCAATAAAGCTCACTGGGCTGTACTCACAGGTAACTTATATTTTAATGATAGTATAGTGTATTATATTCATTGACTGAAATATAATAGTTGTGGGCAATGCCAATATGGCCCATGCACATTTTTTTCTCTTGTTGCGCATTATTGCATCTGTTGTCTATATAGGCCGATTTTAAATTACATGGGATTGGTTGGCCCTAATCCCACACTACTAGTATACCTTTTTTTTGAAAGGTATTTTTGCTTTTAACTTCCATGCATTTCACCAATTCTACTAAAAAAAATAGAAGCTTGAAATTATTTTTCAGCGATCTCTACAAACAAGTACAGAGTAGAAATTCAACTTCCAATTTGTATATTTTTGATAGGGTTCCTTTTTTCACTTGAAAGAACTTTACTGCCTGACGATGTAGGAATGGTAGAGGATGCTGAATTATCTCCTTTGTATGAAATACAGCCAGAGGAAGCCTTCACACTTCAGAATTTCCTTGTTTCATCACCAGAAGTTTTTGTGTATGGCATGCAGGGCAAAAGTCAGAACATTGGTGTCTGGTCACTGGACAAAGTGCTGGAGAGTAATGCAAATTTGCGGGAGGTGGATCCAAACAGAGAAGCTGAGGTGGAACAGTACATTATACCTCAAGAGGGAATCCAGATGGTTTTGTGCAATAAAGTTGTGATTTTATGCAACCAGAATCTAAACAGTTCTTAACAGGATGTACTTATTTTTTGTTTTACAAATCATATTTAAATATTTGAATTCCTTAAAGTTAATTTTTTTTGTTTTATTTATGAGTGTTATACATGCATTTACAATTTGAAGGCCTGTAGTTTTGCCAGTATTTTCCTAATAATTTTGCCAGTATATACTTTAGAAATAGAAACCAAAGCTAATTTACAGCAGGCTACCTCAATAATTTTTTAGTATTAATAGAAAACAAATCATAATTATGGTCATTCAGTCCCCAAAAAAGTAATTTTTTCAGTTTTTTTTTTCATGATTGTATGTATTCTGTAAAGTTGTGATGGAGTTCAAATGATTCCTTAAAGATTGTACTTATTTTTGCTTTGACACTTTTGAATTCACTTAAATTTAATATTTTTGTTTTTAATATGATTTATATATATGCATTTACTACTTAATTCTTGTAGGCCTGTAGGAACCAGGAAGGGAGACAGGGGTGTTAGCAATAATTTTACCAGTATATACTTAAGTATGGAACTAAAGCTAAGTTATAGTTAGCTACCTCAATAAATTTTCATGATCAGTATTTACAATAGAAAGCAAAGCTTATGTCTGATGGTTTTTAGGACTCAGGTCCTCCATTTCAAAAAAATGAAACTGCTTCCTTCAGGCCTGTTTTGACAATCATGTATCAATGATAAATGTATCAATGATCTGTGACAATAAATTTTTGGATTGTTAATAAAAAAAAAGTTTGCATTTTTTGCTGCTAAAACTTTTTGTGTGTACAGTCAAACCTTGTTATCTCCAACTTGATGGGACCAAGAAAAAACTTCGAGATATCTGAGATTCGAGGGTAAAATACAAGAAATACGTGGTTAGGACTTCTCAATCACTTCGACTTGTCCATGGTATTTGAGATATCCGTGTTTGAGATACTGAAGTTCCACTGTATTTGAATCCTCAGATTTGGTTCATGTTATAATCATTTCTTACTCACTAGATCATCATGTATGTCTGGAATCATTAGACTAATATATATTCTGTAAACCTGTGCAAGAAATATATCCACAAGTTTTGCAACCTTCATTTATTGGTAAAATTATTTCTTGCTGGATTATTTTAAGCTCACCAGAGCCAAAGGCTTGAGCTTTTCTGTTTAATATTTGTCCATTGTGCATTGTCTTTGTCGTTTTCACAATTTCATCTTTTTCTCCAGAACCACTGGGCCAATTTCAACCAAACTTGCCACAAAGTATCCTTGGGTGAAGGGAATTCAAGTTTGTTCACATTTAGGGCCACACCCTCTTTCAAGGGGAGAGAATTTAGAACTAGTGTAAATTTAATGACATCTTTTAAAAATCTTTTGAAGAATGACTTGGCCAGAAAAGCTGAAATTTACGTGAAAGCTTCATTAAAGATCGAGTTTAAATTCACATTTGTTCAAACCATGATCCCTGTGCATAGGGCCAGGACACAACAGGGAATCAAAGTTATACACAGGACTATATAGGAAATAAATTTAGCATTTACTAATTGATTTTATACTGATGAATAACAAATAAACCTCATTATCTGAAACTAAATGGGATTGGAAAAAAATTGACATATCTGAAGATTTCAGATACTGCATGAGGTTAAAAAATACATAAAGAAAAGTTGGTTGGGGCTTTTAATAACTCACTCTGACATATCCATGGTGTGTGGGAAATTGAAGATCGAGAAATTGAAGTTCAAATATAATCTCAAAGAAGATTGATGATAAACATGTTTGTGCATAGATATTTATTTGATAAAAGTGTGTTAAAAGACACAATAATAAACTCTGTAAATAATGTTTCACTAAAGTGAAGCTAAGAAAAACAATAAATATATTCTAAAATTTGGCTAAATAGCACTTTTAACTGGCAATATTTTCTTTAAAAACTCAATTAATGAGATTATAATTATAGCAACAATGAGTCTTTCAAAACAACAACTATCGTTCAATATCTCTTAACATCCTTGTACATGTACATAATTGTAATATCTTGAAATTATCTTCTTTCGAGATTGAACTGTGATGACTTGCAGTGATAACATATAAATAATTTTGAATTCTTTGTTATAATACAAAACTAGCATTGTCAAATACCAACGTGACAGGATAGTGCATTAACCTGTCAAGTATAATCAAGAGAATAGGTAATGCAAATAAGACATGAATGATTTTCTATCTTCTTTCCGCATATTTATCCTTGTATACCTGATATATACCTTAACACTGGATATCTGTCCAAGAAATGGACATATTACTATACACCTTTTTACTGATTATGAAAACAATAGCACTCACAAAATAAAATAACTCGCTTTTATTCTTTAATTGCTGAAGACCATTGAAATGGTCTTCATCAAAAGAGCACCTATGAATTTATATTCTCCTGATTTTATTTTTAGGAGTCAACTGCGATATTAAGTATATATATACTCACGTAAAATAAGGAAAAGGCAGTATTCCAATGTTACAGTGAATCTCATCGTCGCAGGCCACAGGTTTTGTGTCCATTCTATTGTATGTGGAAATAGAATGGACACAAAACCTGTGGCTTGAGACAATGCAGTGAATCTATTACTAATCATGTCAGTTTGCATTGACAATAGATACACTATATTCTTGCCTCTTTAAATATTCTTAGGCGTAAATTACATAAATGTATATACCGTTCTAAATAAAAACAACTGGAGGTTAATTCATGTTTGCCTTGAGTGTGAAAGAGGTTTGATGAATCGGTGTATAAAATCAGCTTCAGACATAGTATGGTACACGACTGACTCTGTATTGTGATGTTTAAAGTGATCAGCTGTGAAGTTGGCACTAGTAACCATAACCTCTGCTCCTCCCTTTCCATCCGTACAACCAATAAATTTTGCGTGGAATGTAGATAGAGGATATACAATGCTGTTGTACACTTTGTACTCGATGACGGGCTGCTGTTTACCTGGGAAATGATTCTGAGCATTTCTCTTGACATCGGAGATTTTTTCTGTATAGTTACATTTGATGCGTACAAAGAAAGCTTCAATGTTTGCTGTAGTGAAGTTTTTGAGGACAAGGTCACAAATGTCAATCATTCTCTCGGTGTCAAGGAAGGGCGTGGCTAAGTAAACATGGCAGTCGGGGTTGGACAGCCAATGAGAAAGCAGAGATTTCCAGAGTTTGTAAATATAGGTGGGGCCATCTTTAATTACTGGTGTTCCAAGGTGTGTCAGTTGTCTTTTTAACACATCTTCAGTCCACTAGAATGAAAAATACATGTATATGTATACAATGTAAATATTTGAACATTTATGCATTAAGAATCAAAAATGTAGTATTTGCAGATATAAAGTGTTTTAATTTTAAAGTAAAAGGTAATAATAAAACTCAGACTTATTTATTGATTTTGGAATAAAGAATGCACATTTAGATTTGCAATCACAAAATATATGACACAGAATTTAAAATTTTATCACACAATTCTGAAGTGGATACAGATTAAGTTATATATGAACCTGAATGGTTGCTATATTAATGCAGTATTTTGGTTTATTTTTTGTTGTCTTTAGCATTAACAATGTGTTATATTCTGGTTTTTGGGTTTTTTTTTTTTTTTTTGTTAATTGGCATGGTAATATATATGACTGGATAAGGACATTTGTGAAATTCTCACAAGGTCAAGTGATAGAAGTTCCATGTCATCAGTGAGGTCCTCAAGAGTTGCCTCCTCTTTGTCAGAACTCTTCTTTTCCTCTGTCACCTGGTCTCTTGTGGGATTTATCTCTTCATTTGCATAAGCAATTTCTAGAGGTGGCATATTGTCCAGGGTCAAGGCCTTTTCTTCTAGATCTCTCTGTTTGTGAAGTATTTTTTCTACAAATTACATATGCAATAATGTAATGATTATTACAAACATATTATGTAAAGATTATTTTGGTACCCAATATGTCTGCTTTGGAAAGTTGCATTAATTATTCTAGCTTTATATATATGAAGAGTGAAGAGGGGATTTGAAGGATCAACTAATTTGGATTAAGATATCATGAAGAGTTGATTGAAGAAAAATTAAAATTTACTACAACTCTACCTTTTTCTTCTGCATCTTTTTTCATGAGTTCATTCCACTTCCTTTCATGCTCCAAATATCCATCAGACACTGGCTGGGGCTCCATTGGGGGCATATCATAAGCATCCATAACCTTGGAAAATCTCTTCAGAAACCAGTCCAAGACAAAACTGCCCTGAACTGTTAGAGTACCAGTGGTCATGTAGACAGTGATGGAGACATCGTCCACTCTTAACATGACTTTGTAATGTCCGTTTTTATCATACAGTTTTCTGTAAGGGTATCTTTGGACTGGATAGTTGTTTGGATGCTGTAAAACGTTCATCCAAAATGTTCCAAGAAGAATTGAACCCTGTTTCCCCCTCCTCTTTACCACAATTACTGATGGAGTTGATAAATCTAAATACACTGATTCTGCAGTTTTTGACTTCACAAAATCTTCTAATCTGGTTTCCATGACTGCTTTACCACCCATTATGATTTATCTATTAAAAAATACAATGAGACTGAGGAATAAATTTTGAAAAATTCTGAAAAAAATTCTACATACCATCAAACCTCGTTATCTTGAACTCAATGGGACCAAGAAAAAGTTCGAGATAATTGTGAGGATTTAAGATATCGAGGGTAAAATACTTAAAGAATAAGTGTTTGGGACTTCCAAATCACTTCGACATACCATGGTATTTGAGATATCAGTGTATGAGATACCGAAGTTCAACTGTATATTAACAGGTTGCTAAAAATCAAGTTCTCAACTGGGATTCAAACCTGGCAAGAGCCTCTGGTGCAACGTACCACTGAGATTTTGAGACCTGATTCATACTGACATATATTTACACACCTGTTTACCCACTATCATTTTTTAGGAATGTACCTTACAGCATTTCCTGTATATAAGTACAAATAAAGAACAATCTTTAGTTGAATAAGATCACAATATAGTTACACATGCATTTTTGGGCATACGCCTACAATGCCTTGTCATTCAATATACTTTAGTATAAAATTATGTTTGTATACATTACTACTAAATTTTCTTATCAGTCATTTACTAGCTTCAGTAACAGAAGGCAGAATTCGGACAGAATTTCCTTATCAAATTTCCGTTGCTAATATAAACACAACATTGCATTACGGTTTTTCGTCTTAAATTGAAAATATTTACAATAATTTTACTATTACCTTTCAGGAAACGTTGACTTTAGAGAATTTACGAGGAAACTCTGAATGAAAATGTTTTTTATTAATAATTTTGGATAGAAATTGCCAAATCAGAAATGTCCTGCTGCATTATTTATACAAATGAGACTTTTTGTTGTTTCCTATATCGAAGAGCTATTTTGAAAATGAAAGTAGAATCATGCGCTTCTTTTGTACAGCTGGCAGAGGAACAGAGATTTTTGCATATCAAGAAGTGCGCAAAGAGTTTGATATTTGGAATGATTTGGTAATATTTGTTTGTTTTTTTTATAATATATCCATCGATATCATGTGTAAGAGGAAAGGAGAAAATGTATGGCTGGACCAGGAATCGAACCCGGGACCCCTGCATCACTAGTCAGGTGCTCTACCGACTGAGCTACCCAGGCCATATCCACGGCCCTAACCATTACATTCCTCCCTACTTAAATTGTCTTCACCCTTGAAGACACAACCCAAGTTCTTATTTGCCCCTGGCAGGACTTTCACCTGCAAGTCCAGGGGTGGTTAACGGCACCAAATCTGTAAAAGGAAAAGGAGAAAATGTATGGCTGGACCAGGAATTGAACCCGGGACTCTTGCATCACTAGTTAGGTGCTATACCGACTGAGCTACCCATCCACGGCCCTAACCATTACATTCCTCCCTCCCTAAGTTGTCTTCGCGCTCAAAGACACAACTCAAGTTCTTATTTGCCCTGGCAGGACCTTCACCTGGACCGGGAATTGAACCCGGGACTCCTGCATCACTAGTCAGGTGTTCTACCGACTGAGCTACCCACTGAGATATCCACGGCCCAAACCATTACACATGTAATAGGAGAGGCCTCAGAAGTTGTTTTTTTTTAAATAAAGATGTTTATGTTCTAAATATTCACCAGTTCAAACAAACATTAATTATTTTGAATAAAAAAATCACAACCATATCTGAAACTGGGAGGGAGAGGGGGGGGGGGTTCTGTTGCACAGAAGGCAGCGAAATCTCAAAAAACATAAAAATCCTACTACCAAACACAGGTAAACTACCTATTCCACACGAGCTCATTCTACCCCTCCTAGAATGTATTAGCTTAATCGAACGTTATTCCATAAATACTACCATCGACTTCGCAAAGAAACACTAACATGTGTTTAACCACATTTATAAATATATCTATCTCATGTTCTCACAATATAGATCCAGGTAGACTTAGATCTTGGTTACTGTATATTGTACAATTGTAAAACATCCAACATCCTTTATATATTTATAAATGCATCATTTTATATACAGGTTCCCGTTTCTGAAGGCAGAGTATATTTTCAAGGCGATGTGAACCAGATTGAGAACATTCTACAGTTGAAGACTGTGGAGAGAGCATTTGCACTGGTTTTGCATGTAGACTCAAAGAAATACAAAGGTATATCATTCTATATTTAGGTGTAATTCAGAAAGAAGAAAGTACGTTACGGACCAAAATCGGCCCTGTCCCCAAATCTGATGAAGATATTTTTGAAACATGCCTAAGATGTCATCTTTTTAATTCAGCTTAATTTTTGTAATTATCTCAACTCAATTTTCCTACAACGTTATATGAATATAGATAGTTTCTTTGGAAAATAACACTATATGACGTTATGACGTCAACCTAGCGACGCTACGCAAATACGAGGGTTGTTGGAAAGTTCGTTATATTACTTTCAAGAAATATTAAAAAAGAAGACATTTTCTCATATAAAATATTTATTTGAAGTTTCATTCCATTCGATTTAACAGAAATCAATTTACTTAATTTTTAAAATCAACATGTTTGGTATCCCTGGAGCTACATTAAAACGTCAAAAAACATTGCGTCATGGTGTTTTCAAAAAAAAAATCTCCCTTTACATTTCACTCAGTTTGGTCCAATAGCCGCTTATTAAAAACGTTTCTCCATCAATTTTATTTTATATTGCTAACAATCGTACCAGTATAATTTAATTTTGTTTGTCCATGTTTTATTTCTTTTTTTATTTTACCGCGTAACTGTGCATTTACAAGATCAGCAACTGTGAAGCGCCTCTCTCTTTCCATGACTTTACCAACTCAAAGTTTCTGTTCAGATTTTTACAGATAATCCATTTTCTCACAGACCGCCCTTGTCTGATACAGAATTTTAATCATTCGAATATAGCCTCTATCATTTATACACACATGCACAAATCGCTTTTGACATTTGCTTCCTACAATATTTCAGATTTTATTCTGAAGATTTCCAGAGTACAACACAAAATTTTGTTATATATACCTTTAAAAATTGGTTTCTATATAAATCTATACACATTCCTAATGTTATACTGAGCGGTCATAAAAAAAATCGATGTTTGGCCGCGGAGTAAGATATTTGACCTATCGATGAGAAATTGGACCGCTTACGTTAAAATTGTGGGCGGGATCAGCTAAATTTCATTTGCAATCGTTGGTGTTCGACAGTGACGAAATTGACCAATTTTAACCGCAGTGTGAATTTAAGTAAATTTACATCATGGAAGCCTGCACAAGATACAAAGGTATAACAAAACATTTATTGACTAGGTTCTCGGGCAAAATGCGTTTTGTTGACCCATCGAACGGTTAAATAACGGCCCCAGAGTGAGACAAACAGTTTGGCTTTTGGGTCCGACAATATACTTACAAATAAAAGATTAATTTATATGATTTTAAAACGAGAGAGAGAGAGGGGCAGAGCGAGAGAGAAATGCGTAACGTATATTTAATAGTACGTTTATTATAAGTATCCGATTATTAATCGTATTCAAGCAAGAGTTTGATTTTTAAAAGCTAGACTATTTTTTATGCGAATTACTTGGTTTGTTTTTAAGATTGCATTAAAACTTTTAACACTATTTTAAAAATGTCAGATTCCCTATAAAAGTTTATGAGAAAGCATTAAAGATTTTTTCGAAAAGTATTTGAAATTTTAATTAATAGATAACATTGAAAGGGCAATTTCCCCAGCCCATTCTCGCGACGTCATTCACGAATTTATCTAAACAAAGTGTGTTTAAAACGTTTCTGTCTTGTCATCTGAAAAAGTTTCAAAAAAAAAAAAACCTGAAAAAGTACAGTCATACGATTAATAATTTTATATGTCTCCAGATGGTTCTCAAATGCACGAATCAAGTAACCCCCCCCCCCCCGAAACAAGCTGTAGCATTTCTCTTGGATAGTTGGCATGGGCAACCTTCTATCGAATTTTCTTTAGCAACTTATTGAGGCTTTTTTCACCAACTTAGTATAGCTTCTCAAAAAAATAAATAAATAATAAATAAATAAATAAATAAAGTAAAAATAAACATGTATAAACATTTACTTTTTTGAAGAACACTTTTACGATCTTTTTTTTTAAATACGTAAATATAATTATAAATAACTACTGTTGCTTGAAGTTTCGACTTTGTTTGCTTGAAGTTTCGACTTTGTTGCTTTAAGTTTCGCTCAATATGAGAGCCTATCTTTAAGTAATTATTGTGAGCCTTTGATACCAAACCTATGGAGAGAATGATTATAGGCACTTACGCCTGCTTTTCAATCCAGGTAGAGCTCTCGCGCCGTGATCGGAAGGTCATGTGTTCAAATCACGGCTGCGACCGACCTAAGTCGATAAAAAATAAGCAATTGTTCCTTCGTCAAGCGCTCGGCACTTTGAAGTGAAAGTTGCGGATCTTTCGGATGAGACCTAAAAACCGAGGTCCCGTGTCACGGTAGGTTCAAACTTTTTTTTTTTTTCACAACCAATTTTCCCCCAATACAATAAATTCCTAAACTTTACCTATGCTACAGCAAATAGAGGGGGGTGTTAGTCTTTCAATGAACATTTTCAAAGTTCGGAAAAAAGTGGGAAGGAGCCCAGCGTCCCTGATTCTTCGTGCCTGATAAATAACTTGTTTTCAGACTTGTCCACACTGACAGATAATTTTGTTCCACAGTACTTATATTAAATTGTGTGATACACTTACACTGCCGTAGTGGGGTGCAAGAATTTTCTAGACAGTTAACCTTGTGAAAAGTGAACCCATCATCCGATACAGCTTTTTATTTATTTTTTTTTGTCCGAAATTCCTTTTTGGACCTTTCTGTCGCTTTCTCATTCCAGTCTTCTTTTAACTTCACTGGATCCTCGACAGATAAGAAATTACAACTCTGGTATGTGGAATGATCTTAAGTAGAATATACGGGTAAAAAATAAAAAGCCATTGCTGCCTCTCCGACGACACGGCTGACTCAAGAATTTAAAAGGAAATCACCTGATTCTATTTATAGATATACCTTTTCAATTCAAGATCAAACTATGTAATATGATTTGAGGACGAATGTTATATTTTCGTAGTTGCAAGTATGTCAAATGACAATCATTTAATTTGTTCAATACTCAAATTCTGAGACAAAAGATTTATAAAATCAATAAAAATAAAACAAGTAGCTATGAATTTGCAAACTTTAATGAAATAGTTTAGGACTGTTTTTTCCCGAGCTACTTTCAAAGTGTATTGTGTATATTATAACTTTCTGAAATTATGTATATCGTAAAACGTAATAAAGAAAAACGTAGAAAAGATACACAAAGAAAAACAAATTTAAGAAAGCATAAATGGAAAAATGTGGGACTTGAACTCGCTATCACCATATTTACATTCTAGCAATCATACCACTGCGCCAACGAAGTCAATGACGTTGAATGAATAAATTTGCTAAATCTTACGATTATATGAGAAGAAAAATTGAATATATATTTTCATCATTTTCAATATGAAGACCACCTTTAACCAAAATTAGAAGTGCAGTCATATCCGAATAAAATCCTTCAAAAGTTGTTTTTTTTTTCTGGTTAAGGGTGGTCTTTGAAAACAGTTTGTCATCTTTAGGTGGATACCTCAATATTTACTATATACTCCATACAAACTGGATAATTTTCATATTTATCATATGAGGAAACTATTAATATTGAAATATCATTATTGTGTGGTATGGTTTTACGCATGTATAAACTAAGATTGTATGACAAAATTTGGTTAAACAATGAATTTAAGGAATCACTAGTAGAGTAGACGAAAATGCCTATCAAATGCGCTGTGGCTCTTTTACTAGGTGAAATATGAGCCTTTGTTTTTATATGGCTTTGCATAATATTAACGGCAATGTCTACAATATACAGATGCAGATGCAACACGCTTATATTGTGCGTGTATTATAAAATCTAAAAATATATTGAAACATCAACCGTGCACTTGTATAAATGACTGAAAATACAAAACTTCAGAATATTAATTAATCTGATCAGTCCTGACCAACAGCATCCAAAAGATTGGGAATTTATCCCCCCCCCCTTTCCAAAAAAAAAAAATGTGTTGCAAGGGGACCTATTGTGACGTCATCTTTGAGTTTATTGCGTAATTTATTTACATACATGCAGACGTCAACTAGGCCGTTTCAGTAGCAAGATAAAATAAAGGCTAGGATTTAAGCATTTTCTTTTCTGCAATAATACTTTTAGTGATTTCATTTGTCAGCTGAACATTTTTATTTTATTGCTTTAGTATATTAAGTTGATCTCTTCCCTTCTTGCTGGCAACATTTATCAAGTGTAAGGCTTAGTTGTTTAAAAAAATATCGTAATTTATCATTTCTATAAAACATTTTTTTTTAGTTTTTATGCTATTTTCATGACAAATATACTTGTATGAGCTATATAAATATGGTCAATCAATGATAAATTTATTTCTTTAACATAATTACACGAAATACACCATTATTATTGCTCCTAGATAAGAACTCGCCTCTCGACTAGTCTTGTCCCATGATCCCTTGCACTTCGTTATTGGGCCAATAACGAAGTGCAAGGGATCATGGGACAAGACTAGCCTCTCGACTAACTTGGTATTCGCCACCGGAAATAGTCATGAAATGTCAAAATTAACATACTGCACATTCCTCGAGCAAATTCTTACCATTATTTTTGCTTGTCTTTTATCAAATCATTTTCAAATATATATGTTTTATTTTGCTCGAGGGGTGTGCACTACTTCAATTTTGGGAATTTGTTGTAAAAATAGTGGAAAAAATAGCAATTTCCGAAAAGAACGGATGTTTAAATCCTGTGAATACCTCTAATCAACGTACTTGCGAAATTTTGTTATGCATATATCAAATCTACCAATCTTCTTCTACATGTACATAGTACATGTAGTTATATTTTTGCAAACGTGTATATCAAAATACGAAAAATTGTGGGCCTTCGAATAATACGTAACGTACTTAGTTCTTAATTAGCCTTATTGTTTTGTACATGTATTTCATTTTTATTCAAAAGTAGAGATTGAATTCACTTAATTATCAACAGTTTCCTCATAGTTAAATTACAAAGACTTAATATGACTTTTTTAAGATTTACAAGGAATTAAAAAAAAGACAATAAGGATTTTTTAAAAGACAACAGATAATCAAGGAATGGCTTTTCAGTTTCTTTCTTCTCAGTTTATTCAAATTTTATCACAAGCAGATCTAGACAGGGCTACATTTTTAAATAACCTGAGGACAGATATTCTAAATGAAGATTCCTGGAAGACCGAAGACCTCATAACTGTGATAGAACACCTCAAATCCAGACATGTTGGCAAATTACAAAGGGAGGTAATTCCTGTAGGTGGGGAAGGTCCTCCCTCCAAGAAAATCAAACAGGAGAGGAATCCCAGCTTCAGAGTGTCGTGTAAATGTTCTGGTGTGTTGGGAAGAAAAGTCAGTGCTCAGGTATTACTGTTAACTAGGGATAATATACATTGTACTGTGGAAATGTCATTGTTTGAGGGGGACCAATGTTCTTGGTTTGGTTGGTCACCTGTAGACCCTTTAATTTACATCCCAATGAATGAACTTTGTAGATTTATATTGATTCATAAAACTTTTCTGTATATATGACTCACCATGGTCATTCACGAGACTACATATATGTCCCTACAACCAGTAAAATTTTTGTTGCCCATGGGCATTGACCCCCCCCCCCCCCAATTAAAATGATTCTACGGTATATAATCAGAAAGTAATAAATGTCAGTTTGTATATTAATTATCTCTGTGTAATGCAAATCCTCAAAGTATTTTATTGTACAGTCAAACCTCGTTATTTCGAACTTCACAGAACCAAGAAATTACTTCGAGATATCCGAGGATTCGAGATATCCAGGGTAAAATACTTAAAATATAAGCGCTTGTGGACTTCAAAATCCATGGTATTTAAGGTAGCCATGTTCAAGATACCGAAATTCAACTTAATTGATGTACCTACAATGTTATAACAAATATGATAATGCATTTCTTTGCACTGTTGGTTAATTTTGCTTCATTTGGGTATTACAAACTTGTACTGTAGACGTACATTTTGCTGCATGGGATTAATTTATGCAATGCATGCCATAACATTTTTCCATGAAAATTTGGCACAGCTGCGTTCTTTAAGTGCAAGTAAGACGTACAGGGGCAATCCTAGAAATCTACCTGTGGATTTATAAAAAATTGTGATTCTGCGGAATTTCTATCCCATGGAAAAAAAGTATGTTTACAGTGTTTAAAAATGTGAAAAAAAAATGTTCAATTTCAAGGTTCACCTTCTTGTAAATTCTAAAGACTTTCAATTTTGTGTTCCAAAAAATATATATCTGATTACAAATCTTTACAAAAACAAAAAAAATTTACATGTTCTTAAGATATTTTCCTTCATGCAGTTACTGGCAAAACAGATTGGAATAAAACTTAGTCAGCTGATGAGATGGAATGTAAATTTCAAAGATCCAGACATTGAAGTACGTAACAGAGTATTCGCATAGTGATCATGTTGAGTACAATTGAAATTGACATTTGTACTATAAAAATATAAAGCAACAAGCTAGTACACTTTTATTTCATTATATTTACTCTAAACTGTTGTCAGACTGATTTTATCTGTGTATTCTTTACCAGGTCTGCATACAAGTAAATGATATTCATGTTAGTGTTGGCATTCCATTGACCAGGTAAGTATCACATTGTGTGCACTCATAATGATTTTCACCGTTTCTTCTGCATACTGTAATTGTGAAAAATTAAATGTTGGGAGAAATTTCCCTATGACTTTGTACACATGTATTAATTTCATTCAGCATTTTTTAAATTTCTGTCACCCATGTTTCGCAGTGGTTAGAGCATCTGCTGTAGAGTTGCAGAGTAGGGAGCTGATCCTTACTTTGCGGGTTCGAATCCACTGTGGTATGGGTCATGGAGACCGATCCTTCGTATGAGACAGTATAAACTGAGGTCCTGTGTCACAGTAGGTGTTGACACAAAAAAGATCCCTCACTGCTCAATGGCCCTAAGTGTCGAGCATAGGTATAAATTTGCAGCCCTCCACCGGCAAGTGGTGGCATCTCCATCTGTCTAATGAGTGAAAAATTCTCAAGAGGGAAGTTAAACAACAAACAAACAAACATTCAGCATTCACAAGATGTTACGCTGGTGCTGCAAGAAATATCCCCTTTTATTTAGTATGGTTTCATTAACTGATTTGCATAGTTAACAATATAATTAACTATATCCACATTAACAGTTTTAACATGTGACCTCCTTCTTTTTGTTTAAGAGTCCCATTGTCCAAGAGAGAATATGTGAAATGTCATGGATTAAGGGGACCAGTCACATGGATCATGTCAAATTTCCTGGGGATTAAGGTTATTTTTTAAACAGACAGTCAAACCTCGTTATCTTGAACTCAATGGGACCGAGTAAAAAGTTCGAGATCTCCAAGGATTCGATCACAAGATATCAAGTGTAAAATACTTCCAGAATAAGTGTTTGGGACTTCCAAATCCCTTCGACATATCCATGGTATTCGAGATATCAGTGTTCAAGATACCGAAGTTTAACTGTACTTGCAACATTATGCACATGCATTTATTATAATTATAGTGACTGTATGTTGTCTTAATTAAATGACAGATTTCTTTCTCCCACTAACCTTAATTTCATCATTATAAATATAGTGACTTTTTCCATCCTCAGAACCATGGTGTAATTTTGGATCCCATGTGTGGAAAAGCTACCATTCTTCTTGAGGCAGCAAAACACATTGAGGTACAGTGTTACACTCAACATTTTAATATTTTTTTCACCTCCTCTGCATAATACTCTACAAAATTTGAATATATAATTAATGTGCACTGTACTTTTCATGGAATGTACTATTTTCTACTGTGTTATGGAATTTAAAACTTCGTTTTATACTCCAATCCTTTCATGGAGTGATCTCTTTTAATTTTTTAATGTATATGTGTGAATTTTTTTCTTGTATATTATATTATCTGTAATTTTCAGGGAGTGTTTTGTATCGGTTGTGATATCAGCAAAGATCAATTGAAGTTGGCTCAGGAAAACATTAACTTTGGGAAAGTACAGGACAGACTTCAGTTAATCAAGGGGGATTGTAGAGGTAAGGAAGCAGTTTCTATTTCAGGTGTTACATGTACATGTGACTGCAGGGGTTACAATATGTTTTTGATCATCTTGACTTTTTGTCCTAACATTCAAAAGTCTTCAAAAGTATCTTCACAATAAACTCTGGAAAATTTGATTTTGGGAACATTTTTTCATTACCAGTCTCCAAAAACTACCAACAAACAAGATGTGTTTACAAAACACTGATGCCTCTGTATGGCAGCTTATGGCGAAGGTTAAAATTTCTCAAATGCAAGTCAAACTCCACAGTCAAGGTCAAGAGATGAAAAATGTTATTCCTCAAAAAAGGCCTTGGCTCAGGGAATATAACTGTGAAATATGAAAGCCCTAGCACCAACCATTCAAAAGTAATGGCCTAGGTTAAAGTATTTTAAAAGTGGGTCAAACACCAAGGTCATGGTCAAAAATATTTATACTCAAGGAGAGGTCTTGTCACAAGGAATACAGATGTGAAGTATGAAAGCCCTAGCCCCAACTGTTCAAAAGTTATGTCCAAGGTTAAAGTTTGGTGTTCTTTTACAAAAACAGGTCAATCCCCAAGGTCAAGAGGTCAAATATGTTGATAACTAAAGAAAGGTTTTTTCACAAGGAATACACATATGAAAGTTCCAACCAATCCAAAGTTATGGGCAAGGTTAGTACAAATACCATTTCTGCTTGAACTTTCAGTAAGGTATGACAATCCCGGTGATACGTAATTAGTGTCTCTCAAATGGTGACCTAGATTCTCATTGGTTAAGAAATTAATAATATTACATGTAGCAACTTTAGATTGTTGTTAACAAACAATGAGATGACATAAGCCACACCTCTTTACTGTAAGAAATGATGTAATTGGTTCCTTGCGTCACTCGTTGACATCTGAACCATTTTTATTCCATGTGTATTTCACGTGTGAATGAAAAGCTGTGTAAATTTCAGTATTGATGAGCTAATCTGGCAACCAATGAGCATCAAGGTCACTATTTGAGAGACGCTAATTATGTATAGCTGAGAATATCACGCCTTACTGAAAGTTCAGGCAGAAATGATATTTGTACTAAAGTTTCTGTCGACAAAAAGACAAACAGACTGACAGACAGGACAAAAACTATATGCCCCAGAATCTTTGATTATGGGGGCAAATGAAAGTGAACAAAGAAGTTTATTGGGATATTACAGACAATATTTTTTGGATTTTTTTCAGCATTGCCTTTAACTGCTGAGAGTGTTGATGGTATAGTGTGCGACACCCCATTTGGAAAGAAGTACAATGTCAAGGAGTCATCAATTGCTTTTCATGCTTCTTTACTCCAGGAAATGCACAGGTATTCTAGCATAAATAAAGTATACAGTAAAACAAGCTTTTAACGAAGTACCAGGGACGGACGATTTTTTCTTTGTTATAAACATAATCCGTTAATCTGTTAAGTTCACAATATATTTTATAGCCATGAGAAATGAAAATCACTAAGCTGTAGTCATCAATTTATTATAAGTGTGTTTGCTATAAGCATGTTTTACTGTAATTATCATAATATGTGTACAGTTGAACTTCATTATCTTGAACTTTGATAGTTCAGATGCCATGAATATGTGAAAGTAGTTAAAATTTCTAATCACTTTTTCTTGAATATTTTATTACAACCTGAATATGTCAAACCATTGGATATCGCGAAATTTTTTCTTAGTCCTGTCAGGTTAGAGGTAACAAGGTTTGACTGTGTAAGCAAATATTACTTGTCACAAGGAAAGTCATTTACAGGTATTATAAACTGACTGAAATCATAAAATGTCGTGTAACTCCGTAACTCCATGTTTATCAGTAATTTCTCTCTGTGTGCTTGTTTTAGAGTTCTTAAGAAGAATGGAATGATTGTCCTTTTGGTCAGTGAAGAAATGCACCACATCATAAAAAATGCAGGATATTGGTATCAACCTTGTGTACAGCCTGGCCAAAATAAGGGTGAAGATGATAGGCACCCACAAACCAAAGATACTGAGGACTACTGTTTTGTTGTGGGTGACCAATCAAAAACATCCTTGCATGCAGATACAGTGAATTTAAATATTGCTGATTCCTCAGACCAAGTTGTGGATGATCCTAAGAAAAGCTTTGATCAAAATTTAAAACATTTACAACATTACAAAAGTAGCTCCTTGTTACCTCATGATTTAGATTCTCAAGCTGTAGAGAAAATTGGACAATGTGATAGTTTAGTTTTAAAGGATAGTGGAATGACAGATAAAGGTGACGAGTTAGCCTCCTCTGTGAACAGAAATGGTGAGGTTGTTAAATGTGATGTAATGGAGGGAGACATGACAGGAAGATTGTCGTCTGTTCTACAGAAATTCCACCATGTCTGTGATCACTACATTAAACTAGGAGAAACAGATTCATTTATTTTTGTACTGAGAAAAAAAGTACTAAGAATATAATTTTGCTGCTGAATAGATCTGAACCACTGTTTATATTTTTTTTATTACTGGTAAAGATTTAAAATAGAAATAGAATCGTCTGAATAGTAAAATAAATTTGTATTTTTTTTTTTTAAATGTTGAATGAGATGTGAATGTAACAAACAATAATCATTCTCAAGTCCAATCAAACAATACAAATTGTGAACAGAGCAAACATGGCTGTCTGAAAACAGGGGTGGGATCAGGTACCATAGAGGGGTGAGCATCCCCTGTTGACCTGTCACACCCATCTTCTGCTCTTTGTCATTATCAAGATTACAGAAAAACCTGCAGACAATTCATTGTGAAAATAATGGCATAACAATTTTCATGAAAGATGTCAGTCAACATTCATCTTAACAATCATAGCAGATGCAAACAAGGTCATTGCATCGACGCTAGAATTTGTGAAATGTTGACTTTAAATAAGATTCTTGATATCCTTGTATCATTAACTTATTTGTCAATATAGCTTGCTTTTTTTTTATTTTAGAAAATGATCATTCATAGAACATGATCCTGCGAATCTAATCAACTGATTAAACCGTATCTACAGGTGACAATTGTATGTTGCTACATAAATAAGGGCAGTTGAAGAAAAGTTAAAGCCATCACGTTTATCATTAAGTTTTATTTTTGTTAGTTTGCCATTAATGTCTTTTTGTTGTTAAATGTCTTAATATGAAAAAGATGTGTCAGACTCTCTGATGTCTATATTTTGAGTTCACTGGGATATATCGAATCAACGTAGGTCTAGAATGAAAAGGAATATTGTTAATTGATATAACGTCTATATTTCTAAATGTCAAATTGTAGGCAATAGCAAAAGACTTCTTTTCATTTAGAAATTTTTGAATAAATTCTGCTTCGTACGAGGGATGTTCCAAAAATAATGACACTTGGCTGTTTTCACCCCCATTTATTTATTTTTTATTCTTTTACTGCTCTTCAAAATACTCACCCGTGGCCAGGGTACACTTTTGTAGACGGGTCCGCTCATAGCTCTCTCCTATGGGAGAGGATCTTACATTTCGGCCGTGGTTTGCGACGATGCAGTAAGACACACTAATACAGTAATATAGTAACATATTAGAATGACAGGTACAACTCCTCGAAAAATATCAAAAGTTAAACGATATCTGCTTCACTATAAATTATGGGTTTTTAAACACGTGTAGCTATTATCTGCGGAAGCGTATCAGTGCCAGTAATATTTCTTAAAAGTTGGTAATTCCAACTTTAAAGTTGGCTTTTAAGATTCTCTTCATCCTGACCTACATTGGAATCAAAGCAAAATCATGCATGTTAATCATATTTAGTAGTTTTTATACAAAATGTCTTCATAACTAATTTCTGCATTTGAATAAAACAATTATACCAAGAGCGATAAGACTCTAAAAAATTGTCGCTTCTGTTCCATCATCAGGTGGGGAAGATACTTTACTCTTCTGTGGTACATCTGTAATATAATTAAAGTAACTCTCATTAAGTAAAATATCCTACCATTGAAATCTTACATTAAAAAAAATATTAAAAGATCACATAAAAGGGGCGCTAATGAACATAGATAATTATTTAACTACATAATTTTTATATTTTTTTCCTTTTGACTCTTCCTTGCCCCCCCCCCTTTTTTTTTGGAGGGGGTCCCTGAAATGTAAGAATACAACAATCTGAATCAAAATTGTAAATCAAACTGAGAATTATGTTGGTAAAAAAATTCAAGAAGAGAGAAATTGCATTATAAATCAATATCATAAAGAATTACAAATCCATAAGCAAGGGCATCTGATTTCCTCAATTTTAAAGTAATGGTAAATGAAAAATTTTGTTACTTATTGTTTCTGCTATCATCCGCTTTTTGGACTCTCCCGTTCTGTTGTAGTGTTTTAATTTTTATACTTCTCATATTTGTGTTCGGGGTATTAGGTAAAGTACACCGTAAAACAAGTCCGTCTCCAATTATTTTATATAGATAGCCACAGTATTAATCGTAAGAATTATGCATAATTATTGTTATGTATATATATTTTTCGAAAGATATGAAAATTCTTTTTGGGAAGTGGAAGCCGAACATTGTTAGGAAAGAGACTGTAATGAAATGATCATTGTTGGACTTTAAACGAACACAACATCCTGAACAATCTGCCGCAGAAGGTATGCATATTACAGGCCCGTAGGAAGCAATTTCAGTTTAGGGGGCACAACCATACATTTTCAGTTGAGGGGGGCACTATCAACTACCAAAAATTCCTTGACAAGCCCCCCCCTCCCTCCAAAAAAGATCATCAGACGTTTTTATTGAGGAGGCACAAGCATATAGTATCTATGTTATCTATAGTACTCTATATATCGGCCAAATTATTTGGGGGGGGGGGGGGGGGGGGCGGCGGCCCGGTTCCAACGGCCATGTATTATACATATGTATTTTTCCATAATTTTGTAATGATAATTTAATACTACTATAAAAGACACAAGTTGTATTTTTGCCCGAAAAATAAGTCGATCAACAGATCTTTTGTAGCAGTTTCTTTTGTTTCGTGTACAACCAGGGACGATGTACTAAGATAAGGAGCATTTCCAGTGCTATCATCAAATATTGAATAATTTTTTGATAGATTGTTCTGAAATATTTGATAGCATTAGAAATATATTTAATTAAAATTGACACACAAAATCTGCAACTTGCTAGTACATGTATTGCAAGACTTACGAGTCAGAGTTGCATATCCCGTTTGTACAGTGTATATACGTCCTAGGAACTACATTCTCCTGGGAGAGACACTGTTATAACGTTATAACGACTATACCTTTAATTTAAACAGATTAATTAAACAAATTAATCTCGAATTAATAAAGGAGGAAAATTTGCGTATAATAAACTGAGGGCACAGTTTTTTTTAATAGAGGCAGGCCGGACTTCATATGTTATCGTATTAGGTCCACCCGGACCTTTAAACGAGGCGGACCAAATATTCGAATGAGACCGTATACACAGAGGTCCCGTGTGTCGAGTACAGGTCTAAATTAGCAGCCCTCCACCGGCAAGTGGTGGCGTCTAAATTTTAGTGAAAAATTCTTAAATTTTAAAAGGACGTTAAATAAACAAACAAAGAAAACCATTACTATAATTTTGGGGTTTTCAAATATAGAAATACAAAATTCATGGAACTATTTTCTTAAACCACCCCACTCCATTGAATCTTGCTTCAAATTTATCAGTGCTAGTATTTATAAAACTGTAAATAACTTAAATATTTTTTTTTCTTGTTTATTCATGATCATAAGAAAAAATTATTTTTTACTATTATAAATAAGATCATCCACAATATGCACTTTTAGAGACACTTCACTCCTACTGCAAACTTTCTGAATTGATCAGACATAGATTTTTTGATCTAGTTATGCTTATAAAAAAAAGAAACATATTTACATATTAAAACATATTATTGGTGCAGTGAATTTGTCATGGTCAGCTCTAGCTAGACCAGCTTGGTTAATGTCTTATAAGAATGAAATGCTGAGATATCGAACCATGTTCAAGCTCAAAAGTCCATTGAAACAATTCGAACCGGGAGTAGAACAACATGGATCCTCTTAAAACAACAGAATTGGGATCAGGTGCCATGGAGGAGTAAGCGTCCTCTGTCGAACGGTCACAACCACCCTGTGCTCCTTGTCCTGATCGAGAAAACGGAAAAATCTGTAGACAATTCAGTGTGTAAATAATGTCCTAACAATCTTTATGAAAAACGTCAGTCAGCATATTCGTCTTAATGAAAGATTGTATTTGCTGGCAAAGTCATTGTATCGACCATAGAACTTGCGAAATGATGACTGTTAAAAACGAGTCTGTTGATATTCTTGCTTCATCATTTTGTTTGTCAATTATAGCTTGCCTTGATTTAGAAATTGTTCGTTCAAAGAGCATGCTCTTGCGTATCGAATCAGTATGGAGAAAGCCAGGAAAAAGGGAATTGTTTATGAGCACTTCTTTATTTGGATATTGTTACATAATCCTACAGGTTGAGACTCAGTTCACCAGGTGGCAATTATCAGTTTATAATGTATCAATTTAATTCTTTATTGCAAAAGACATACATGTTAGAGCACATTTGTAGATTTGACAAAACAAGATGCTAAGACACTGAAAAAACTCTGTACTTTTATATTAAAAATATATGATTTAGTCTGTCCTCCATGATTTTTCCTCATTTATACCATTATTATATCTATTATATGTATTTATCTTTTTTTTCTTCTTTTATTTTGTCCTCTTTCACTTTCATTTTCTGAATATGTATATCATATACTTGTACCTCTGACCTGAATTTATATGCTGTAAATATTTTTCATTGTCCTCATGTAAAATATATAATTATACATACATGGTTTTGAGTGAATAAATGAACTTGAACTAGAAATCACAATTTGTTAGAGAATGGGTGGTCTTAATTGGTGTTCTTCAAACTAAAATTATTTTTAAAGAAATATTTAAACTCCATTGAATTATCTTTGAAATTAAAGGTTGACAAAAAAGTATGGAAAATTATTTGTGTAGTAATCGAAGTTTATACAAAATAAAATACAAATTACAAAGTAATAATGACGTCTATTTCAATAAAAAACAAACAAACAAACAAACTTTTAATTAGAATATGACAAAGGAAAAAAATAGTCATGCAGCTGACACTTGTTTTATATCTTTTCGTGATACGGTTGTGGTCTCAGTGTAATGATGACACTTTTGGTTTCGAACATGAAATTGAAAAAAAAAGTTTCTATTTGTAATAACTTCAGCTAATCAAGGATATATTTCTAATCAAGAGATATCTCTAACATAAAGATATATCTTTGGAAAGTTATTTCATGGATAAAAATATATCTTGATGTATCTCTCTTTTTTTTACCGTTTCATATAGCATTACCCCAAGCTTGATGTCCATATATCCCGGTCTGATCCTTAGGGATTGCTAGCTGGTCATTATAGATGTGTAGAGATTTTGCCAGCTTCATAAGTAATGAAATTTTTTAAAAAGATGTGTACCTTCAATTTATGTCCAACATAGCCTTAATCTGGGGCTGGAAAATGGCTCAAAGGGTCATGGATTTTTACATTTTTCGGTATAGGGCTTACATTTAATTATGTGGCTTTTCTTTGGAGAGAAAGATTTGCATGTTATTCTTATCTTTCTTTGAGGGTACTTCAGTGAAATAAATATATGAAGATAACGAGTAGTAATCAAGCTCAAAAGTTCATTGGAACAATGGGAGAAGAGCAAACAGGGACATCAATTTTAAAACCAGGATAGAAGTACAAGAAGAGTCCACAGTAAGGATACACTGTTTAATGTAAAATCCACACAAGAAAATCTCTTATAATCATAAACAACAAGCATTACAGCTCATTTTTTTTCCCAATTTTTTTTTCTAGTTAAAGGTAAACAATGTTGTTGACTGCTTAAAAATGGGCGGTGATCTTTCAGCGAAAGGCGCAAGGCCCTCCTATTATTTGCCAAAGAGGTCATTCATATAATTTAATATAATGCTAATGTACAGATAGACATGCACATATGAAAGTAATTATTAGAAATAGCCTTACGTTATGTATTTCCAAGCGGGTACATTTACTAGTATTACAATACGTATTATACATTTGAGTAAGTTATGATAACATTAAAACATAATCTTCTTCAGTTTCTTCATTTTTTTTCGATTTTCTTTTATTCATTTCAAGAACTTGAAGTCTTTTGACTGAAATCGCAAGCTGGGTTTTAATATTTATTTTTGAAAATTTTGAAGAAATGTGTTCCGTCTCCTGCACATCATAGACCCACTTGGAAGACCCCCTATATTTTCTTTCAATCGTCTTTCCTTGCAGATGATCAAAATCTACACGGGAACAAAATTTCACTGCGGTGTCAAGTAACGTTGTAAGGTCATATTTTTCGGCTGCTAGGATGTAATCCAATAGTATGTCAACCGTTATGTCTGTTCCCGGATCACATTGGCTTATCATAAACTCCTCACAATCAGCAACAAGAGGAGACTGGTATTCGTGTGCCAAAGGAAGTACTTGTAGTACATTGTGCCCTGAAAAAATATAATATGCCATCGTTATTTTTTTTAAATACTAGTAAATTGTTAAAATAATCAAATACAAGAGGCTCATGGGCCACAACACTACCTGAGTAACTATGGCTCTTGTTTATCAGCAGATTTTGTTCCTATATATTCTCATGTAAAATTTGATCACCCAATATAGTCCTAGCTTATTCCCGGAGGACAAACGTGAATCTACACTATCTGTTTTTATAAATATGACTAATCATGACTTTGCTATTCCTGCAGAAAAGAGTTTTAAAGATTTTTCTCTGTATTTCTATGTAAAACTTTGATCGTCCATTGTGGACACACCCTACCCACAGGGGTTGTGATTTGAACAAATTTAAATATACACTACATGTGGATGCTTTCATATAAATATGACTGATCATGGCTTTGCTGTTTACAGATGAAGATTTTTACAGATTTTGTTCCTGTGTATTTCTATGTAAAACTTCGATTGCTCATTAAGGCACCCCCTTCCCCCGGGGATCATGATTTGAACAAACCTGTACATACACTACCTGTGGATGCTTCGATATAAATATAATTGATCATGGCTTTGTTGTTCTTCATCATCGATTTTAAAAAATCTATGTATTCTATAAAATCATGATTTGAAGAAATTGAACTTGAACCTACACAACCTGAGAATGCTTCCATATAAATATGATATATCATGGTTTTACTATGCTTGAGATGAAGATTTTTAGAAATTTTACAAATTTATACCTATGTAAAACCTTGATCGCCTATAGTGGTCAAACCTTATCCCCGGGCCAGATGATTTGAATCAACTTTAAATCTACACAACCTGAGGATGATTCCATATAAATTAGATTAATCATGGCTTTCCTTTTCTTGAGAAGAAGATTTTAAAGATTTTTACTATATATACCTATGTAAAACTTTGATCGCCATTTGCAACACACTACCCCTAAACGCCATGATTTGAAAAAAAAAAATGAATCTGCACTAAATAAGTAAGCGTTCACAAAATATTCATCTTTTCTGGCCCAGTAATTCCTGAGAAGATTTTTGAATGACCCCACCCAATTTCTACTTTTTAAAAATTATCTCCACTTAGAAAAGGATGTGGCCCTTTATTTGACTAAACTAAACTTGAATTCCCTTTACCCTAGATTACTCTGTGCTAAGTTTGGTTAAAAATGTCACAGTGGTTCTGGAGAAGAAGATTAAATTGTAAAAGGTTAACGACAACGACGACGACGGACAAATTTTGATCAGAAAAGCTCACTTGAGCATTCAGATAAAATGAGTTAAAACAGTCATAGTCACATTGTGATGTACCTTTTACCTTTTAACAACTATCACTTGATATACTTGTGTACCTTTATTTACCTTGCAGTGCACCTCTTTGATCTTGAATATATCCATATTTAATCATGTGATAATAATGACAAATTTGGTCAATATTCAATAGACCTGGGTTCAAATTCAATTAAGAAACATGACAAGAAATGGTTTATAAGTGGAACAATAAAGGACATTTTTTATGAAATTGAAATATTTTTTAAGTATAAAGGATGTCGCTTTATCGAATGTCATAGAACTATTAAAAACAACACACACCCTACACCCACCCACACAAAAAATGTATATTCATAATGCAATAGTTTTTACCTGTTATTGCATACTCCATGTTTGGATAAAAACATCTGAGAAACTCAATTACATCTTTAGCCTTTTTGTTGGAAAGAGTTATTTCCCTTGCCTTGCTTTCCTTAAAACTACCAGAAAACATGGTATTAAATACTGGCGAATGCTGAGAGAGGACAGCTTTGTTAACGTGGATTTTCTGATCTTCTACAAGTAAGGTTACATCTGTTTCTGGAAATTCAAAGTTGCCCAAGCTTTTTCGTTCTGCCATATTATATATTGCTGTATATCTAAAAGAAGAAAATATTTTTTCTTATCGTAAAATGACAATAAAAGTCTCTGTTAAGCCGCTTTATATACGAGGGGCGTTCAATATTTTTTGTCCCTTATAGTTTTCAATATAAATTAGGACAGTCGATTCGGGATTTGGTCATCCCTGAATGAATATATCATTTATTGACATTGTATCAAAATTTGGAACAAGTCCGTGCACTCTGAAACAAACACTTACTATAGCAAATGACCTACCCGAATACACTGGACATCAAGTATGGGTAAAACACGAAGTCTGGAGTCACTTGAAATTAGAAGGTATATTCTTGCTCGTGATGAAACGTTGGTCCACTTTTTCCAGCCAGAAAGGAAAGTAAAAAATCATGTCTGGATTGCAAAGAATATGAAGAGGCCAACAATTGCAAAAAGAACTCAAACTTCCGAGAAAGCTCTAAACGCAATTTTTTAACTCTAATGGATTAGTAGTTCAATATGCAGTCCCACAGGGCAAAAGTGTCACTGGAAATATGTATTCTTCGTGTATACTTTCGAGACTTTATAAATTTTACAAAAAAAGACGACCAAATACCGGTTTGAGAGGCATTAAACTTCTGCATGACAATGCTCCTGCCCATAAAGCAAAAGTGAAACAGGACTATCTACAGCGTCACAAAGTTCTCGAACCTCCACATCCTGCATATTTACCTGATCTTTCTCCTTGTGACTTTTTCTTATTTCCAAAACTAAAGGAAGCTCTATCTGGAAGGCGTTTTCAATCGAGGTCAGCGCTGAGCTCAGCTATTTTTCAGTATTTAAGGAGTATACCACAGAAAACTTATAGAAAGTGTTTTTTGACTGGATTAAACGACTTCAGTTGATCTCTGTATTAAATCAAAGGGAGATCACTTTAAAGGAATGCAATAAAAAAATGAATTTCCATTCTGATTTTGTAGCTGTAATATCTTTTGGACAAACAATATTGAACACCCCTCGTATATGTTCTAGTAATTGTTTTCAAATCCTTCAAAGAACCCACAAAAGTCTTCCTTTTCACATTTATAGATGTAATATAAACAAGTCAAGAGCTCCGAATTAACATGGCAGACTACCTACATCGTAGCTCACATAGACGAATGATATAGTCGCCCGCGTGGGGCAGTGGTTCGAGCGTTTGCTCTAGAGTGGCGGATCGAGTAAGGAGTTGATCCTTAAGTCGCCGGTTCAAATCCCACTGCGGGACGTGGAGGTCGGTCCCTCGGATGAGACCGTATACAATGTAAGCCGAGGTTGCTTGTCGCAGTGGGTGCTGGCACGAAAAAGTTCCCTCACTGCTCAATGGCCCTTAGTGCCGATTATAGGTCTAGAATTGCAGCCCTCCATCGGCAAGTGGTGGCGTCTCGATATGAATGAAAAATTCTCGAAAGGGACGTTAAACAAACAAACGAATGATATCTTTTCTCTCAGCGAATGGATGTCATGGTAGTGTAAATTCCTGTTACAATAGATGCAATGCTCAATGGTCTGGGTTGGATTCATAATTTCTTTGGAAGAGACAGGCTCCACTTTTTATACATTTAAACTGCACAAGAAATCGAAGAATTGCTTTATCGTGATTAAATTTTGTTAGGGTGAAGACAAAATCTTGAATCATAATCTACAGCTCCATGACAAAGTCATTTTCGATCTTTTCCCAGTAAAAATATTTCATGTACATGTAGTTTACTTCAAAAGTGTTTGAAGAAGATGAAGTTGTAAACCACTTAAAGGGCAAAGAAAAAGAGATCGACAGGAACTTTAAAGGAGACCATATATGCCATGCTTGTGGGTATTTAAATGTTCGTTTATTATCTCATATAGGCCATACAAAAATCCATTTATTACGTAAAAAGGTACAAAGATTACCATTTATACCACATTATACAAGTTCATGTGCTTGAAAGAAAAATTGAGAAAATTTTAATGTACAGAGTCTTTTACAAAGTTTTAAAGAATGCAGCTAAGTTGTGCTTGAAAATTCCGTATAGAAAATTGTGAAAAAAATAAAAGTTTGACTAGGTTGGTACTGTCAGGTATTTCCATATTTGTCATTTACTGGATGATGGAGACTAGGGGATACGAATCGGACACTTGACTAGCGAAGATGATTTTAGCCAATTTTACGTTTACGATTAATTTAAGTCACCCTCGATAAAAAAAGAGTATCATTTTAATAGTACTGCAACATTATCAATTACGAAAATTCGCGACATTGGGATAGAACTGAAAACCATGTCATGCAGATACTGTAAAAACTGGTAATTCATTACGATCGAGTTATCAGACGTTTTTCAAGTTGGATACAGAACCTATTCAAGTAGTTGTGTTGGATAAACTTTCACTACATTAAACTGATATTGAATAAGAAAACTACATGCTATGATTACTTAAATGTATAATTAAAGCATACCATTCTTCTTAAAATAATTTTACTATTTTTACAGTTAAGGATGTGTTACCTGAGGGTTTTCAGACTTCCAATATGCTAAAGCTAATAAAGTTTTTTGAAAGGCTTTGCTCATTAAGAACTTGAAATAGCTTACCAGGTAGGTGGACTTAAATCAGATTAACATTTGATTTAGACAAAAACCCACTGTTGATTCGTTATCTTCGAGATATGTAATACAGGAATAAAAAGACACACTTCATCAAAATTTACATGATTCAACATGTCGTGTTATTGAATCAACAAAGTTTACGTTCTTTTATAATAAATTTCTTCCAAAATTCATGTACAAGTAAAGCAGTATAAATGTAGGAAAACAATTTTTATTACTTACTGTTGGGTTGGCTTCCTCGATAGTGGATTTTAGGAATGATCGATCACTCACTTACTACTGATCTATTTTAAAGCCTACCATACACATTTCTTTTAAAAATTGATCATCGGTTAGTTTTACTATTGGAGACGTGGTTTGCAATTTGAAACTGCTCAACATGGACGGAAAATTAGCAACGAATCTTTGAACAAATGCGAAAGATCTTGATTACTAGTAACTGATTGATGATTTGTTTTATGTCATATTCGAGAATTTTTTGCTCATATAGAGACGTCACATATATTGGTAAAAATTAGACCTATACTTGGCACTCAGGGTCATTGAGCACTGTGAGATGATTTTTTTTATCGTGCCTATGCAGGCCTACCGTGACATGGGACCTTGGTTTTTCAAACCTCACCCAAAAGACCTGTGACCATCACTTCTAATGCTGGGAGCTTGACGAGGAAACAATTACCATCTATGTTTACTTCTAAGGTGAAATATGGAGATAACGAACAGACATCAACCTCAAAAATTCATTGAAACAATAAAAACTGGAGCAGAGCGAACACGAACCTCTTAAAAGCATCAGATATAAAATCAGGTGCCATTGAGGAGTAAGTGTCCCTTGTCGACCGGTCACACCCAACATGTGGTCCTCGTTATTATTGTACAAACGGAAATATCCGTAGATAATTCAGTGTGTACGTGATGACTTAAACTTTGTATGAAAAACGTCAGTCAACTTAATTCAGTTTAACGAGGCGCAGCGAAAGAGAATCGGACTCAGGGCTCTCGAGTTTAGGCTTCCTTGAACCGGTATATGATCAATACAAACGTCGCAAGCAGGAAAGTTGCAGATATACCTGTAAAAACTGATCGAAATTCAAAATTAGAAAATTCTGAATTTTTATTTGACATTATTTATTCAAGGTAATGACACATTTATTGAGGAGACAAAGCCTTTATGTTTAGAATAAATATCCGAATGTGCTTCTCTATAACAAATGCATGTGTTTTATTTTTCAATGCACTTCCGATACACATTCACCAAATAACTCACCAAATGGACAATTTATTCCAATTTCTAATATCTTTAAGTTACATATGGAATGAAATATGAAGATAACGAACAGTATCTAAGTTCAAAGTCCATTTAGACAACAAAAATCGGGAGCAGAGCAAACACGGACCTCCAAAAACATCAGAGGTGGGTTCAGGTGCCATGGAGGAGTGAGCATCCCCTGCCTACCGGTAACACCCTCCGTGTGCTCCATGTCATGATCGGGAAAAAGGAAAAATCCGTAGACATCTCAATGTGTAAATATTGGCTCACAATTAGTATTGAAAATGTCAGTCAGCATTTGGCTTAATGTTGACCAGGTCATTGTGTCGACCATAAAACTTGCAAAATGATGACTTCAAACGAGACTGTTGATATCCTTTTTCATCAACCTGTTTGTCAATAGCTTGTCTCGTTTAAAAAATTATTCATACGTAGAGCATTCTCTTGCGTATCGAATCAACTGGGAGACAAAAACCTCATATGTAGGTGATAAGGGTAATTACTATATTTAAGGAATGTTATTAAGTTTTGTGTGAGTTATTGGTGTGTAAATCACACAGACTTGTCACGTAGGTATATTTCATGAAGCGCGCTACGTGCAAGTCTGTGTGATTTACACACCAATAATTCACACTTAACTTATAAACATTCCTTATATTTACATTTTACAAGTTTAAAAGCACCAATAATATACTCAATATTTGAATTTCTTGCTGCCCTATATCGTTACATTTTTATTAAGTCTCTGTAGCCTCATTGTGACGTCACTTTAGCGCGAGTTTCACCGTGTATATTTCTACGAGTGAGTATACACAAAAATGACTTTCAAATCAATTTCACAGTTAGCTTAGTAGAAAAACACAGCAAATGTAAAAATTGCTAAATAAGTAAGGAAAGTTAGCGATTGAAAACATGAAGGCATCACGTTTATCATATAAAGCTGTGTTGTTAAAGTCTCTTTCTAGTAAAATATCCAAATATGAAAGAGATGTGACAGAATCTGTGTTTTTTTTAATTTCAAGCTTACTGGGATATATTGAGTTGACATATGAATGGAAGTAACTATTGTTAGTTGATAATGCGTTTTCGATATATCAAAATGTCGAGTTGAAGGTCACAGCAAGTGTTTTCGTCTTTTCATGTAGAAGTTTCTGAATAAATTCTGCTTTATATGAATACAAAATAGATCTGTTAACAAGCTAAGGGGGCATGCTAACACATGCATTGGTATTGAAGCTTTTTTTGAATTATCATAAAAGTACGTGCTCTTGTCGAAAAGAAATTGAACATACACTTATGAAAAGATTTTCTTCAGACCAAAGAACGCTATGTTAATTTTCCCCCTTTCATAAATATCGATCGCTTACCTTTCAAATTATTTTCACTAGGCAAGCAAGAACTCGTTCACTAGTGACGAAGTATATTTAGATTTGTGTAATATCTGTCATACGTGCAGTGTAAATATGCACAAATATGCAGAATATTGCATATCTCTGAGTGTTTAGAGTTATCTGTGATGTTTTCCCCAGGAAATTAAAAAAATCCATGTTTTTGCCCCCCCCCCTTTCACTCATTGAATTTATGAAACAAGATATGTATACACATTTTTTTAAATACATTTAAGAATAAGCTGCATTTATTTCATAAATGAATTCCATTACCATGGTAGGATATATATTTGTATGGTGGAGTAAATCTACTCATTGATTCACATATATAGTCTTTTATACCATTGTTACAATTCACAGTTGTTCACGGAATAGTTGTCAATTCATTGTAGACTCATTGCTACGGATAACATACTGAACTCCCCCCCCCCCTCCCCCCCCACAAAAGATTAAGAAACAGAATAACGTTTTCTCAGAGATTTTCGTGTAATTTCCTTATACATGTATCTAATTAAACGCAAACAATATACAACTGCAAAATTCTATTTAAATTGTTGAGTTAGTTTTTAGTTACTAGTGCTGTTGATCACTACTTGTAATAGTATACCAAATTTGGCTAGGTTATGATGATTTTATTCATAATCTTTTTCAGTTTTCTGTTCATCACGTGTCTTACATTTATTTGTCTCAAGAACCTGAAAGTCTTTATATTGCTATCGCTAAACAGGTTTTTATATCTATTTCCGAAAATTTTGAAGAAAAGTCTTTGATCTCATGTACAATATAATTCCAACCGTCTGAAATGTGGATAGCATCCCAACTCCTTTATTTCATTAAGTATTTCCCTTCTTTTTACATATCCCTGTTTGAATGTGCATTGATATTTTACACATACCTATTGAAAGAGGAAATAAATAACAATGCTATATACATAAACTTGAAACAATGACATTTTTTAGCATTAATTTAGATAGATAAAATGCACGAATCACCGCTACAAGGGGATAACTATACTAGGGTGCCCATCATTGAAAATTTGTTAGTCGGACAAGAATCTTGCACTTTCTATACCATAGGACATGACCTTGAGTTACGGCCAAGACACAATGTCTCGAACGTCCTGGCTTGCTTACGTGCTAGTACGAAGTCTTCACGTTTTGCACTTTCAACGTTTTGGGGAAAGTTGAAGTTTTTCACAAATTAGACAAAAGTCTTTGATTTCGGTGGCAACTTCCACTCAAACTATTGTATGTCGCATTTATATTGCGCAACAAATATATGCCTTTTGTAAATTTACTATTTATATATCACATAGGTAGGTTTTACATGTTTGTATAATTAATCACAAGGACAAGAGATGTATTGAATTTAAATTTTGCATATGGTTGATCATCGTAGACAAACTGTATATGTTAACTCATTGAAGAGAAATCAAAAATATACATAAGAAAGGATTAACTCTTCTTCTTTGATCTCGAGGGCTTGTACAATAAATCGTTTGTAGATAACATACATGAAGATAATCACTAAATGAGATTGTGTTTCAGCTTGTCGTCTGTCTCAAAAAGTTGTGATAAAAGTAAAAGACTGAAAAGAAATAGTACATGTATTGTATTTTAAATATGATATATCAGGGATGGCATTACAAAGAATCATTTATAATTAATTCAAAGAATTATAATCTAGAGTTATGCAGGTAGTGAGCTATTTACAGAAAAATTAGGGGGAAATGAGAAAAGGTCTGTTAGTTGAAGTCTATGAAAATTACAGTAAACATGTCCACTCCAAATTGAAAACCACATGCGTACGGGTCTAAGGAAAGTCCATATTAGGGAATGCAAGTCAAATCTTAAATAATACAAAAGTCTTGCGAAATCATTGAGAAAACAATGTGATTCACTGCTTTAAAACGTGGGGCGACTTTTTTTCTTTGAAAGTTGTACTGTGTTTTAAACTTGTGTGAGTTTTTTCATCAAAGTCGCATTGCGTTCCCTTCTAATCGACACTGAAGTACACTTGCATTGTCCACTGTTAAAATAAAACTGATATAAAGGATAATAATGCTAAAAGACGTCAAAAAAGATACGAACGAAGTTTTGTTAAATAAAAATAGTACATGGCACAGTGTATCTAAGTTGGTTACTCACTTTCTATCACATAATGTACCACTTGTATACATCTGAGTAGGCTATGTTAATTTAATAACATAATCTTCTTCAATTTCCTCCTCTTCATTTTTCATTTTTCTTTTATTCATTTCAAGAACCTGAAGTCTTCGGACTGAAATTGCATGCTGGGTTTTCAGATTCATTTCTAAAAATTTGGAACAAATATATTTGGTCTCCTGCACATCATAATTCCACTCTGTGCAAAGAAAACCTTTCTTAAAGTTTTGTTTCTCTTTTCTTTCAAACGTCCTGCCATTGAGAAGATCAAAATCGACATGGCCACAGAATTCTACTGCAGTATCCAGTAACGTATTTAAGTCATATTTTTCGGCCGTTAAGATGTAATCCAGTAATGTCGTTACTGTCAGACCAGTTCCTGGTTTACACATGTCTGTCATAAACTTCTCACAGTCAGCAACAAGAGGAGACTGGTATTCGTGTGCCAAAGGTAGTATCTGCAGTACATTGCTTTCTGAAAGAAAAAAAAAATCATCATATATCGATGAAATGAAACAGTCATGATTTAGGCTTCCAGAAGGCTGATGTTTGTTTTATTTTAACTAGCAGTCAACTATTCAAAAACATTTCTTTTTTGCCTTTAGTGTGGCGGGGGGGGGGGGGGGGCTTCCCAAAACAAATCTGACAAGCAAAAATAAAAAGAACCTAATCAACAATCCAAATCCTGGAATTTGCCAATGCTCGACCTTACAGCGAAAAAAAGTGGGGGTTAACCAGCATCTAAAGGAGGATTTACTATAACAAAATGATATACTTAGAACCCCCACCCCCACCCTCCGTGGCTACAGGCCTGATAAGTCCATTCGTTCTCTTATTTAATCTTGAATAAATGCAAATTTCAGCAGAATTTTTACTTTACCAAAATATAAAGATCTCTAGAACACAATACTTTTCTGAAATCTACCTTAAACAATAATTTTTCACAATAACCAAACTTTAACCCATATGAATAATTCTAAAGTAAGTTCAGTCGCCACGTGGCGCAGTGATTAGAGCGTTAGAGTCGCAGAGTAAGGAGTTGATCCTTACGTCGCCGGTTCGAATCCATCTGAGGGACGTGGAGACTGGTCCATCGGATGAGATCGTAAAAACTGAGGTCCCGTGCAGCAGAAGATGCTGACACGAAAAAGATCCCTCACTGCTTAAAGGCCATAGGTGCCGAATACAGGTCTAAATTTGCAGCCCTCCACCGGGAAGTGGTAGCGTCCCAATATGAGTGAAAATTTTTCGAAGGGACGTTAAACAAACAAACAATTACAAACAAAACAGTAGGTTCAAATTTACCATCGTCCTTGTTTTTTCTCGCCCTATTAATAATTTTCTATCAGTATGTTTAGTAAAGCATTCTCTGATAGGCTAGTGTAACCATTATTTTGCTCGCTTGCATAGTTGACCCAACCCTTGCAGCCTTTCTTTATCAAATTATTTTAGGTGTCCTCTATGGCGTCATAATCGCCGCTTCAAGTCACTGATCGCAAGGTGAATACGTCTTTTAAATCAGGCAAAAACATGAATTGATATTCATTATTTTTATTCAAAGAAATACATACTGATCAATTTACCTGTGATTGCATGTTTCATGTTTGGATAAAAACATCGAAGAAACTCAATAACATCCTTAGCCTTTTTGTTCTTTAGTGTTATCTCTCTTTCAGTACTCTCTTTAAAACTTCCAGAAAACATGGCGCTGAACACTGGTGAATGCTGGGAAAGGACAGCTTTGTTAACGTGAATTTTCTTATCATCTACAAGCAAAGTTACATCTGTTTCTGGAAAACCATCATCGTCAGAGTAACGCTCGCTTTCTGTCTCTGCCATTTCACTAGTGAAAGTGGCCACTGAAATATTATTTTCATGTAACTATTGACTGATAGTATAAATTTATGCGCAATTTCTTAAATTTTTGTGCAGTGTGCTGATGTTTGTTCACTGATTTTTATGACAGTTTTTCTCTTAAGATTAATACATGCAATACATGAAGTACGTGTAACTATGCGTCCTGCATAGATGAAGACCCATAGTACAGGTACATGTAACTGTGTTGTACTTATGTGTAACTCGTATAATCTCAGCTCTCTTCTTTTATTAAACATAAGAAATTAAAGATTACAAAGCTTACCTCGACGAATAATTTCAATAGATATGTACAAGCATCACTCTAAATACTTGTAAGTATTCTGCTTAGTGTGTATCCCTTTTACAGCATTAATGCATGTATGGTTTTGGTAAAATTTAATGTTACTTGGAAATGCAATTGCGCCAAATCTTGGTGCTGTTCAATTGGGTATCGGATGCATCATTTGCCAACAAAGCATCTCAAATATCCCTGGTAGCGTACAGTCACAGATGCATCATCCATATAATTTGATCAGGACAGTGCTTAATATATTTCTTGTAATTGTATTTCTTGTAAATGTATTTCTTTTAAATTTATAGAATATGAAGATAAGAAACAGTAATCAAACTCAAGTTCCATTTGAACAATACAGACTGGAAGCAGAGCAAATACGGACGTCTAAGAACACCAGGGCCGTTTTGCAAAAGAACTTACGATTAAGACCACAAACTTAAGTTGAATGTAAAATTTTGTAGAATTAGTGATTCTGTTTAAAATTGCTAGCATAAAGATATCTTTATAAATTCTTTTTAAAAGTTTAAAACCATTTTTCAAATTAATGTGAAATAGAGAACGTAAAAGCAGCATTAAATTTTGGTCTTAGTCGTAAGTTCTTCAACAAAACAGGCCCCATAGTTGGGAACAGGTGCCATGGAGGAGAGAACATCGCCTATCGACCGGTATCACCCGCTGTTTGCTCTTTGTCATGATCAGTAAAACTGCTAATTCAGTATGAAAATAATGACTTAAGAATTGTATGAAAATGTCACTCAGCATTCGACTTAACGATAGGTTGTATTTGCTAACATTAGGTCAATTATCGATCGTAAAATATGCAAAATGTTGACTTTAATCGAACTGTTGATATCTTTGTATCATCATTTTGTTTGACAATAGCTTGTCTCGATATAGAAATTGTTCGTAGGTAGAGCAAGCTTTTCGTATCGAATAAACGGGAGGCATAAACCACATATACAGGTGATAATGGTTAACTGTCACATAAATAAGGAAAGTAGACGATAGAAAAGCTAAAGTCATCGCGTTTATCATGAAGTTGTATTGTTAGGTTGCCATTTAAGTCTTTTACTAGTGAAATATCCAAATATATGAAACAGATGTGTCAGATAATGTGGTCTATTTTATTACGAATTCAATGGGGGATATCGAATCAAGGTAGGAATGAAAATGAATATTGTTAATTGATAAAACATTTTGATAATTCTAATGTTGAATTAAAGGCCACGGTTTTGAATACATTCTGTTCCATTAAAAAACAAAAATGTCTGCCAACAAGGAGGCGCAATTAAGGAAGCTCTAAACACTGCACACTACAGAGTTCTTTCTGTAAGGTAGTTTTATTGATTTAGAGTGATCTGCCCTTAGAAGAAAAATAGAATAAATGGGAAACTACCGTTAAAGACACAATTTCTGATGAATTAAAGTATTCTTAATATTATGTTAGATCAAGATTAAGTAATTGAATAAATTATTTCCATTAATTTTCCCGATGCAAGTAAACAACAGTGATTTCTGTTCACAAATAGTTCATTGTCTTTGAACATTTTTTCTGCAGAAATAAGGCACGCACCCTATGTTGAAAATGAACCTTTATATGATATATTTTTGTCGAAGTCCAAAAAGCATTTTTCATTAGTGTTTAGAGCTTCCTTAACCCATGGGAATTCAAACAGATTGAGGGAAGACTTGATCTTCAAAACTTCATAGATATTGTCAATCAGACACTCAAGCATTTTTTAAAATAACTTTCGGAGTAATTAAGTATACAATCAGAATGTTTTTTTTTTTTTTGCAAATGACCAGTGAAAGGCAGCTGTCTATGCGATGTAAAAAAGCCTGGACTTTAATTTATCGTGGCTAGGTTGTATAAAGTGTTGAAAAATCGTATGTTTTGATGTTTTTGATTTTGTTAAATTGTTGAAAGTGTTGAAAATGGTACGTTTTTGATTTTGTTAAATTTTGCAATTTCAAATTTCATGAAAGTACCTTGAAGTTTATAAGTATCACAACTTCATAGTGAACATTATTTCAATAGTGGTTGCAACCTGGTTTAGGTTTTGAAATGCATTCAAAACCTCTATTGAAATCATTGTTCCACAGTGAACGTTATTTCAATAGTGATTGCACCCTATGTTTGGTTTTGAAATGCACTTTCAACCACTACTGAAATAATTATTTCAATAGTGAACGTTATTTCAATAGTGGTTGCAACACTGCCTATTTAGTTCAATGAGAGTGAGAGAATCTTCCATAACTTACTAACACAAGTCTTCATAAGGTCCCAGGTACGTGTGAGGTTGATCTCTCAACTGTTTATGGGGAAATATAGGGGAATACGGGTATGAGCTAAGTGGAACTTATCCAACTTATTTGAGCAATGATAAAATGTTACGTTGCTTTAGACACTGCGTGTGTTGGGCGATACCACACATAACATAAAATCCCATATTTTCTTTATTTGAGCTTATATCTATTTTAAATTTGCTATGTTTATTGACAAGAAATGTACCAATAAGAGATATTTTAGAAGAAAGTGTTGATTGTTTTTCACTCTACACAACTTGTCCACAGTCTATGTATATTTTAAGATACGCATTTCGTAGCTTTTTATCTGATAGAGATGAAAATATAAATCCATTGTATAGAAAAAGTTTGATCTTATGAGGGCATCGTTTATAAAAACTTTATTCATGCCAAAACAAGAAATACTGTATTTTCAAAATGTCAGGTCTGAAATCTAAGTAATATATACAGTATAAATATTTAGCATCTCTTTAGATAGAGTTCAAAGACTGTATACAGTGTTTCAATCTAAAGGCATTATATGGTCAAAACCAAATCACTTACCGTAATTTTGTGTTTATAGGTAAGGTATATATTTTAATTGTGAATGGATTTGTAAAAACCCATTTTATCTTGATACTAATGAATGTATTGTATTTAACAAAAGAATGCTCGCCGATAGATAAGAATCGCATAATGGTTTAAATTAAGGATACAGTGCGATACATGAATAGACCAATAAAGGAAAACACATCTTAGGTTTAGTTATAATTTTTAATCAATATAGCTGTTAGAGATATGAAAAATGAATATTGATGAGTATCACAACAATACCATACATATTTCATAGCAGGATTGTGACAGTTAACCCTCCAGTGCAGAGGGAAAGTTCATTTATTTATTTATTCATCTCGATGGATAAATAAGAGGTTAATTTTTGACAGATTACTTAGGAACTATTTTGTAGGAATAAAGCGTGGGGAGCACGGGTTCACACCTGTATTTTTCAAATCAGAAGCATACATTACGATGGGACTCCATATGCATAGAATATGGTTTTAGGAGAGTGTCTAACGATGAATAATTAAAAAAGTTTGTATGAATAATCAGCTAGCTATCCAAATGCATATTTCAGGTAATCATCATCGGTTAAAAGAAAAAAACTCTTCTTAATAATTATATCTATGTGCAAGATTAATTATTGAATGATAATTAAGAACACGATGAGCTGTGACAATTGTCATATTTCTTTTTCTCTTGTGCTTCTTTTCGTGGCGGCTATTAAGCTTACCAGAAGGCTCTTTTTTAACAACTATACTTAAGGTCAGACGACACGTTCCTCAAAAATAGATAAAGTTTCCCAAGAATTTGTCATCGAAGTATTGATACTTTTAACAAGTTTCCTCACAAAAAATTAAGGTACTTTGCCAGGCATTCGTGCAAAATACCAGAGGATTTACTATATAACCCTAATGGAAATCACTACCGCTCAACTTTGACATCACAATCAATGGCACTGTGTGAAAAAAAAGACAGGGACAAAGGGAAAATCAAAGAAAATGTAATAAACAGAAAATTCGCACTCGTAAAAATATGAAAAAATCCTGTCCCACTCGTAAAATAAATTCCATATCCAATTGCAAAATATTGAATATTTTTTATTTATAATTAATTTGGTGTATATTACGAAGAGATACAAAACAGGTATTCGAGCAACCTGTCGTCAGACCTTAAGTATGGACTAGTCAAAAATAGATGACAGTTGTTTCCAGGGTCCATTCGCATTTTTAAGTATGCCATTACAAGGCAGCGTAATGATGCCTCAGCCCCCACATTTTAAAAGCGATAATGGCCTATTCATCCAAGTAAAATATGAGTGTATTTTTGTTATACTATTATTATACAACGAACAATATTCAAGCTCAAAAGTCCATTCAAACAATACAAGCCAGGAGCAGAGCAAACAAGGACCTCTAAAACATCAGAGATGGGATCAGGTGACATGGAGGAGTGAGCATCCCCTGTTAACCGGTCACAACCGCCGTGTGCTCCTTGTCATGATCGGGAAATAACGGAAAATCCGTAGACAATTCAGTGTGGCCTCAATTAATATGAAAAAACGTCAGTCAGTATTCGACTTAGTGATAGATTGTATTTGCTGAAAAGGTCATTGTATCGACCATAGAACTTACGAAATGACGACTGTTGATATTCTTGTTTCATCAACTTAATTGTCAATAACCTACCTCGTTTTAGAAATTGTTCATACGTAGAGCATGCTCTTGCGTATCGAATCAACTGAGAGATATAAACACCGTATACAGGTGATAAGGGAACATTGCTGCATAAGTAAGGGAAGTTGACAATTGAAAAATTAAAGTCATCACGTATATCATAATGCTTTATTATTAGGTTACCATTAACCTCTTTTTCTGGTAAATATCCAAATATGAAACAGATGTGTCAGACTTTGTGCTATCTTTTATTTCAAGCTCACTGGAATATATCCGAGTCGACATATGAATGGAAGTAGCTATAGTTAATTGGTGATGAGTCGTCGATGTATCCAAATGTGGAGTTGAAGGCCACAGCAAGTGTTTTCTTCTAATGTGGAAGTTTTGAATAAATTCTGCTTCATAAAATACAAAAATAGGTCTGCTTTTAACATGCCATAAATACACCGGAGTTGTAATTATTTCCAGTGAATTCAATATTTGTTGCAAAATCAGCAATTTCTCTAATACGTGATTTTTGTAGCTTCAATGAAACTGCTTACAAAATAAAGTAAGAGAATGACTTATTTCTAAGTTTAGTAATTTTATTTCAAAAATAATATTCGTAAAATATTTGTAGCATTCGCTCTGCAACTTATTCATAATAGATAACTTCAAATCTTTTTTCAATACACCATATTTTTCAAATTTTAAAAGCAAGTAACTCTATGAAATAATGATAAAATCCATTTAAGGTAGTACACAATAGATACGAGGGTTATCAAAAAGGTCGTGGACTGATGCAATAAAATTAATACTATGTAGTCGGTGCTTACAAAATTTATAAGGAACATAAAATAACAAAAGTTTAAGAAGTGTTGAAAATTCTAGCTTGATAAGTTGATAATTTACCAAATTATTCTATAATAAAAGAGACATTATATGATCACCCGGCGCAGTCGCCGTTTAGTTTTATGACGTCCGAGAACGAACGTCTTTGTGCTTTAATGCCAGCTCACTCTGCCTACATACATTTATCTTGATGAGATTCCCTGACTTAAACCTGTCTTGTTTTATGACTTTACAATGTCATGAACAGCTGATGTCAATGCATATAATATTGTAAAAGGATCTATACATAGGGAAAAATCCTCACTTGATTATGCCAGCATAATTTGCTTGTCGGAGTTCAATATCTACTACGCATGAGGCATTTGATAACAAATACTCTGGATGCATTTATATTTTATGTCTCTGTAGCGCGTTTAAACATTTCCTAAGTCGATGTCAGTTTTTCCTGAAGTGAAATTTTATAGAATTTTAGACAAAGACAACCTCCCCCTTTTTGACGTCAATTTGAACCCCTTTATTGTTTGGACATTCCATATAAAATTTACGATAAGATTTTATAGAACTTACAGAATGAAGTACAAATTGAACATTTTATGGACCAATACGTTTTATTTCCATTAGTGAACTCTTCAAAATTAGAGGCGCGTTTGGTCGTCTGACTGGGACAGCATGGCGTTGCGGATAATACAAAAAATGCCAATCTCAATCCAATTTTAAATGTTAAATGTATTTGTCATTCCAATTAAGAGTAGAAGAACTAAAAGACATATGTAAGAGAGCGAGGACCCTAAATTTATCATCCATTAATAAAAAATACGACATTTCCGAGGCAAGTATATTGTATTTAGATGTACCATACGATAAATAGATATATACGATCAACAATTATAGATATAAATTGATATCGCTGTCATTCCTACTCTTGATGTATATAAAGTGCACAACAATAAAATATTTCATTTAAATTTTCTTAGGTTCATCGACATTCAACATTTGTTTACATGTTTATGTTATGTTTGTCCCAGTAATCCCGCGAGATTTGTACATTTTCCGACTTTTTCACAAAAGAGCGCACTAAGAAGTATAACTCTTCCATAGTGGAAATACAACGTATTGTGTATACCACATGAGTGAATGAACGGGATTCTTTGGATGACACAAATGCTCATATCCAAAAGAGTTTTTCTCAGTTACATTCGGTAGAAAATACGTCATGTTTGAGGTTGCGCCGTCTTGACAAACTATTGCTTACTAAAACATTAACAATTTATAAAAAAAAACAAAAACAAAACATGATTATAGTTTGTTGTATAGATAGAAAAGATGATGATGCTAATTAAATGTGTAGAAATTCATTGATGTATCTCATTAAGCGGTTTTAATTTTATGGAGCTGGTCCACGAACTTTTTGATAACCCCTCGTAGGGTTACCCCGTTTACCTTAAATTGAATTCTGTTTGAATTATTGATATTTTGTTCTAAGTTCTCTAAAATTTCTATTGATATGCGGTATGAAAGAAATTCATCAACACATTTTTGCCCACATCGTTTGAAATATGGCCTCAGACCCAAGCTTAGTATTAATATACATGTATATACTAGTATATTATATCAAATGTGACATAAGTCGAGAGTTCCAATCGCAGATCGGACTGACTTGGTTATAGAACATGTAAACTAAAACTCATGATATTCCGTCAAGACTCATTAACTTCTTTTTATCCCCGTTTTCACTGAAACTGTGGGATATTAATTTGGGTTTTGGTCCTTTCGTCCGTCTGTATGTGTATCATTCCGTCTGCATTTCGTTTAATCTCAAAAAGTCTTCTAGCTTTTGCAATGAACTTTAATATCACAGCTCCCTATAGCCTAAAAAGACCACTGTCAATGTTTAGGTTAAACTGTCACAGATTAAGGTAAGAAATTCAGACATCCTGTCTGTGTCTAACATTTTTTTACCGGAAGATATCTTAAAAAGCCTATAATTTTATAACACAACTCTCTTGGTTTAAAAAAAACCTCTACTGATTTTGAGGTCAAAAGTCAAAGGTAAAGTTCATAATTTCATGCATTGCAAAAAGGAGTTTCAAGATAACTTTAGTTTTCATTGAGCTTTTCAATGAAATTTAATATCACAACTCCCTCCTTATGACCTTATATAAAAAGACCAATATTAATATTGAGGTTTAAAGATCACAGGTCAAGGCAAGACACTGTCATTGTGTAATACTTTCGTTTCCAGACGATATCTCAGAAAGCGTTTGAGCTTATGTAATGAAATTTATATCATAATTCTCTGTGGCTTAAAAAGACCTCTATTGATTTTGGGGTCAAAAGTCAAAGGTCAAAGTGAGAAATTAACATATTGCAAAATTGGTTTTCAGCCGAAAACTTTAGTTCTCTTTGATTTCCTTAAAATTAAAATTAGTCAATATGATTTCACAAAGACTTTTATTAATTCTGAAGTCAAGAGATCAAAAGTCCAGATCAGAAAACCATACAATGCAAAAAATATTTCCAGACGATTACTTTTTTCTTTCTCCTGTATATTTTTTCAGTTCTTCCATCCTCCTTTTTCCTTAAGCGGTACAAATCTCGAGAATAAACTTGTTTTGCATATGAATACATCTTTACATTAAATGTACAAAAGAGTTTCAAGGTGGAAATGATACTTTTTGTCTCTCAGATCTTTCCTCAAGATAAAAGATTGAAAGGGGATACAGTCTTTCTTCAACTAATGGAAGGATGCCTCGCTAGAGAATTTATTCCTATTTAAAATAAGAAGTACTTAACGTATCTTTATTTGCTATTAATTTCTTGTGTAATATTCACCTTTTTTGTCTCTAAAACCATAAACAGATTATTCTGAGAATATACTGAAATAGCTTTAAATGAATGAACGTTGGATTGTTGATTGACGAAATCAAAATATAAACAGGGGAAATGTGAAATTAATATCATTAACGAACATGTCATTCATTTAGCAGTTACAATTTTTTTTTAAATATATATTGAGATTAGATTGGAGTTTTACAATAATTCTAATGTATGTTCGCGTTTGCATTAGCTAAGATATAGCTTACGATCAAGAGGGGTTTCATATTTTTGAATAGTTTATTCTTTATTTTTTTTTACATACATATTTATTTACATACATCTATAATGCTTGATGAACATTAGATCTCTGGTAAAATGTCCAAATTTTATTTTCCAGAAAACTACAGTTTTACACCTTTATATGAAAATTCTACCTTTACAAGTATGCACCATGTTAACACAGGGGGTATCTCTTAAATAATGTGCTCCATTGAAAGAAAAAGAAAAAATAAATACTTCAATAGTAGGCACATTGTGCCAATTAAGTTGAATTAACCGTTAATAGGGTCCCAGAAGAAGGAAGATCTCTCCAAAAAAATTGTTATTGTAATTGTAATGCTATATCAGTATCATCTGTCAAGACGACTCCCTTCTGTATTTTTCTATTACGCATCTCCAGAGTTTACAATCTGTTTTCGGCTATAAGAAGACGAGTTTTAGGATCTATTCTTAGGTATTTTAAAGCGATGTTTTTGTCAACCGTTTCTGTTTGTTTAGAAGTATAACCAACTGGTATCATACCCCACTCTAATGCATTGTCTTTTTCAAACTTTTTCCCGTTGAGAAGATCGAAATCCACATCGGCACAAAATTTCGCTGCTGTGTCTAGAAACTTTTGTAGATCATATTTTTCGGCTACTAGGATGTAATCTAGTAATATGGTCACGGTAAGACTTGTTTCTGGTTTACACATGCTTATCATAAACTCCTCACAATCAGCAACAAGAGGAGACTGGTACTCATGTGCCAAAGGTAGTACTTGTAGTACATTGTTTTCTGAAAGAGAATCATAATCAATATGTCATCGTCTAATGATCAGACGGGGGACGTCTTTCCATTTACATAAAACTATTTGTTGTGTTTTAATTTGAAGCGGAACAAGTGATCTTTTGATCAGTTTTCTTATTCACATATCAGTGCAGACTTTTCTAAATAAAAAAACAAAATTTATTTATCAGATATCAACGTGAATTCGGCTGATAATTGAAATTCGGTACTGCATCATTAAGTCATCAAAGTTTTTAATTCATTATAACATTAACTAAGTTTGATTTCTTATTTCTATTGTAGCTTGAATTGCCGTAGTAAACCTTATCATTGATTTGTAAATATCTTTAGGTATGAAATTCTTTAACATCCTTTAAAACATCATGCTTATTGACCTATTTTGTGAACTTAATATAATCTAGAGAATGTCATTTACATAAATCTTATTAAAGAGCTGAATAAATATAGCTGAAATGTTTGAAAACTTTTCTGTACTTCAGTCTAGGTAACATTTTAACGATATCTATCCCGAATCGTTTAACTGTGTTTAGCTTTACTACAAACCCTTTCAAGCTGTCCTCATTCATTTGGTACACACTAAATTTTATTGGATGAATATTACTGTTTGTTTGCTTAAATATTGATTAAAATATTCATGGGAATAAGGTAATTCATGATATTGTGCGAAAAGACCATTTTTCTGAGATTTTTATGAAGATTCAGACGGTTGCATGTGCGTCCTTTTGGAAACAAACAGCCCCTATAGTTTAACCTTGAAAATCTAACTTCTTTTCATACAAGTATATATTATATAAGAGTTATAAATCTAATAATTAAGGAAATAAATCTTTTGTTTAATATTTACAAATTACCTGTTATTGTGTGCTGCATATTTGGATAAAAACATCGAAGAAACTCAACAAAATCTTTAACCTTTTTGTTTTCCAGTGTTATCTCCCTTTGAGTGCTTTCTTTAAATCTACCGGAAAACATGGAGTTGAATACTGCAGAATGCTGGGAAAGGACAACTTTGTTAACGTGAATTTTCTGATCTTCTACAACTAGAGTTACATCTGTTTCTGGAAAGCCAATATCGTTGCCCACGTGACTTTTGCATTTCATACGTTCACTAGTACTGTATCAAAGATGAAATAAATAATATTATTTTGTTGCTTTCATTGTCGGCATTGTTAAGTTTTCTCAGAAGGTACCGAAGATGTCATTTTTTGTTAAGTCTAGCAAAAAAAAAGTTTAATCAATTGAAAGGTATTGGTAATAACTATTTATCAGCTGTTTTTGATGACAAACTGCAAACCTAGTCATAAAACAGGACAGTAGACTTTTAAAATCAAAATGAAAATTTATTAAGTAGACAAGAATCTTGCACTTTCAATACACGTGGCCTTCTCTTTGACAAGATCTAGATGACCTTGGGTTCCAACCAAACCATAATATTTAGCCATAGCTAATATTCTTTATACAAGTATAAAGTTTTCATATTGTTGAATTCAAACATTAAGATGAAGAACGTTGTGCTAAGGTACGAAATGTCAGACAGATATACAGCGGATTATAGACAAAAAAAGTGATTTCGTGGGCAGGAAAACTAGGATATTGTCACTTACCTTCGGAGTGTGCAATGTAGATATAATTATGCCTTTTATAAATACGCTTTGTATATGTCACACATGTATGCACGTATTTAAATGTCTGTTTAATTTCTCATAAAGGCATAGAGATGAATCAAATTTAAAGTTTGCATAAGATTATCCATTAAAGACAACCTGTACACGTTAACTTGTCGAAGAGAAATTAAAATGAACCTTTGAAGAAACTATGTCTCCTGCAGACTAAAGAGTATGGCTTAATTGTCGTTCCTTTTCATTGATATCGATTGCTTGCATGTCTGATCTTTTTGGAAAAGAAAAAAAAAACACTAGAGAGACATAACAAGGAGAGCGTTACGATGTATCATTTAAGATTATAAAAATAAAAATAACAAAATCAGAAAAAGCAAACATATAAAATCCACTATTGGCTATAACTTAGAGATTCTAAAATCCTTCGTCAAGAATTTAAGAAAATATACATATACATTTTATACTTTTCTTTCATATCATTTTTTACTCCCTTCTCAAGATCTTCAGTTTATTTTCAACACAAACACCTACCTTTTCATAAATTGAAAAATGGTCCGAAAATCAATCGCTTTAACAATAATTAATTTTTAATCTATGATTTCTCTTTAATTTGATAAATTGTTTTAAAGTACTTTAAAGGTGTATATATAGGATCTTCCATGATCTGTGGTTGGATAAAAATCATATCCAACCACAAATCATGGGAGATTCTTTTTATCACATGTTTTAAACATTACTATGTTCTAGAAATTTTTTATATACGAGTGTCGTTCAATAATAATGCAAAATGCGATCTTAAAATAAGAAAAGCACAAGAAGCAGTTTCTTCATATTTATGATTACTCAAAGTATTCCCTGTTAACCTTAATACATGTCTAATGTTTTTATACCCATGACCAGAAACCTCAGCATGCTCATCTTTAGGGACGCCCAAAAGACACTAATAAATAAAACTCTCAATGACATACATTGAATTGTAAAGTCGTCTTTTGATTTTTTTCTTGAGTTTTTGGAATTTAAAAAAATCTCACAATGACTTAGAATATGGAGGATGGCTAATTATAAGCTCCGCGTAAAAGTTCTTTTCTTCAAAATATTTCGTTTACATCTCCATGCTTATTTGCAGCAGCGTTGTAAGACACAAGAAAATTAACTCCGGGACCGGTATTTGGACTTCCCTCACAGAAAAACTGAAGAACTTTTCTCGATGCAATTTCAACATAAAAACATCCATTGATTTTCCTACCTTGTGTAGGTTCATGTATTACGGACCTCTTGACTAATGAGAAAACCTGTATAAAAATGTTTGGAGCTCTGACTTTTCTTTGCAATAATAAAACGACAGCTTTCTCCCTGGTTCCACTTCTTATTATTGTTCTTCCTTTTTGGCTGTAAAAAATGTACCAATCTTTTAACACCTATTGCCCAAGTTTAGCATACCTTTTTGTAATAATATTTATTTTTTGCTAGACCATTGACACATTTAACGTATCTTTCCTCTTAGCCATGTGTAAGGAAATAAGACACCGTCTGATAAAGAAATATTTTTAGATTCATATTTCATTTGTCAGAAATCTATAGACTGTGATGATGAATTGTTTAATGTCTTAATAATTCTTTCACTGTAAATCTGGCATTTATAAATATCATTTTGGTCACAGTATCGAAATGTTTTTGGTGTACCTACAGATTTTGATCAACCAGTTCGACTGCAATCTTTTAACACTCCATTTCCATTGTTGGATTTCTTAATCCATCTGAACACTGTATTGTTTTAAGGCCTGTCTTTCCAGATATCAAAACCAAATCTTTCAGATGGATTCTTCAGCGATTTTTGTAACGAATCGCAGTTTTTACAAACGCCCTCATTTTCATCTTCTTGGAGGAGACCATTTTAAAACAGTTTTTCGGCTCAGTGTAGTGTAGTGACATTGCTTACTTTAAAAATAAATTTCTTTCCGAAGGGAGTAGAAAAAGGCATGCGGGTTTTGGTGATTGAGAAATTTTAAAAAGTACTTTTCGACTGTGAAAAAATAAAAGTAATTGCTTCTACATTTATTATGAAAAACTGTATGTTGCATTACTTATTCTCGTATGAATCCACATTATTTTACTTCATCACTTTCACGCACAACCCATTGTGACGTCACAGCACGGTGGGATATGAAAAAATATCCAATGAATGATATCCACGGGATAAAGGGTAAACATGTGATAAATATACTTTTCCCACTATACTCACTATACTTGTCAACTTTTAAGATTTACCACATTATTACCTTTAAATATTTTTTCTTTTGAAAAAAAAAAGATTAAAAAAAATATCTCTCGAGTAGATTTTTTGTGTCATTTTAAATACTATTGGAGGTTATTCTTATAAGGATATTCACATGGTTGTACATGTATGTGTACATCGCTATGATACGTTGATTCTCCGTTACTTTTCCTTCTGTTCCCTATTTCTAGAGTTTTCACTCTGTTTTCAGTATAGCAAGACGATTTTTAATGTTTATTCCTGTTATTTGTTTATATTGTTGAATGAAATTTTGTGAGCAATTGGAGGGTAGGGCTGGTCCATAAGATTTTATTGATAAATAAAACTTTAGAGTTATTTCGTCCATTCATAGGGTATGGGATGGAAATACAAAACTAAAAACTAAGAAAAAATTTTAAAAAGAATTCCTGATTTCCTCAGAGAAGTGGGTTTATTTCATAGGATGAGTTAGATGGTTCAGTATCACTTCCTAATCAATGTTGGTCTGTATTTTGTATTGTAGCAAACTGCATAAGCACAGTCTGGTGATGAAGTTGGAAAGAACATTCAAGCTTTCATGAAATGTTTAGTTTTTTCCGTTTGTCATTGTTTGGACTCAATATACGATTTATTTTCATATGCTTCAAAAGCCTTTAAGGACTCAAATATGTTCTTGTTTAATTCATAGAATTTAAAAATTTTCATCACGTACACATGTCTTTCCAAACAGCTCACTATAATGGATAAAAGAAAAAACCCATTTGATTGCAAAAAGGTCATTTTACTTCACCTTCTCAATCCTAAATAGATTGCAATAAATGAAATTTATATTTGAAGTTTTTATAACAGCCATTAAAAGAAAATGTTTTTCGATATTATATAACAAACAGAAACGTCCCCATTTGCATGATAATGATACAATTCGGGTGGCGTTGCATTGTCTATCATATTTTAAGGCTAAAATCTACGAAAATCTGTTTCAAAAATTCAGAGATAAGAATTATATAGGGAAAAAATTGTGTACAAGATTGAATTTCCCATTTCAATTAAATAAAAAGTCAGTAATCATTTTTTTTATTTTTTTTTAATCTACTTACAATTTGGCTTACAATTTG